CCAAGCAGACGCTCAATCGCGTTCTCCTGAAAAAACGCGGCCAGAACCGCCTCCAGTCCGCCGTGGGATCCCTCTCCGACGCCACCTCCACCGGCGCAGGCGGCCTGTCGATTCGCGGCCTCAAGCAGCAAAAGAAGCGCGTGGTCGAGGACAACAAGCCTTACGACCCCTTTGGCGGGCTCAGGCTCGACATGGAGAGGTACAAGATGGGGCCGTCGGAGGAGTACCGCAACCAGTGGGTCGACGAGGCGAGGAAAAAGGACGATATCGTGGTCGGCGGGTACAGCGCCGACGAGTACCTCGGTCGGGCCATGTTCGAAGCCTTTTCCGGGTTGGCTGTGTTTATTGAGGATGAAAAGGGGCCTGAAAAGGTGGCTACTGCCGAGGCGGCTCTGGTCGCGAGTACGGGCCAGACGACACAGAAGATGGATGTGGACGACGTCTTTTGAAGAATACGAAGACAGCTTCTGCACTTTTCTTCTGTCATTTGACCTCTTATTCTACTGGCTTTGGAACGGATTGGGATGCATAGCGATGGCGTTTGGGGTTCATTGGGGCACTACATGCAAAAACAGGATAAACATCTTAGAAACAGACGGGTTAAAGGGGCAATAAATACCCAAAATCGGTAGCAAAGCAAGTTGTGTGGCCACGGGAAAGTGTGTACCTGTATGCAAGAATTACATCTAAGTTATGGCTCACTAAATAATACATCTTTTCAGACTCGTACTGCGACGGTCGCCGGCCTCCACCGGTCCCACCATCCCAACTTTGGAGCTTTTAGTTTTCGTGTGATAACCCTGTTGCCCGTCTACCTTAAGCATCGTTCGATTGTACAAAGCAGGAAAAAAAACCCTTGTGAACGCCACGCTTTGATTTGAGATTTGAAGAAATAGTGACCCCGGGGTTGGACTGGGCTGGTGTATTTGGGAACAGCTGGTCAGAGCTTTTGGGAGAGCACTGCTATTATGTCTGCCAGGGGCTTTGCTGGATGGGTCGGGGGAAGACGGGCGTCGTCTCGAGATTATCCAGTCCGCCACCCATTGGCTGTTGATTATGTTGCCAGCCCATGCCGGTCTGATGGTTGACAAAGGAGCCCTGGCGGAAGGGGTTTGTGGTGCCTGTTGGTTGAGGCACGATGGCTCCAGAGCTGGTTGCAGGCCGCTGCTGCTGGAGTTGAGAGCCGGTGAAGTTCTTAGCGAATGGGTTGGTACCAGTCATCATTGGCTGCAACGGAGCAATCGTGGGAAGTTGCTGTGTTTGTTGCTGAGGTTGAGGCTGAGTCTGGAATGGTGAATTACTAGGAGCCGGTGAGAATGGCTGCTGGGCTTGAGGTGAGGATCTGGCAAAGGGGTTTGTAGACTGCCTCTGCATGTTGGGGCTCGCCGGGGTCGGAAATGCCGTGTTCGTAGACAAGCCCGTTTGCTGGGCCATCAACATGGATGCCCGGAAAGGATTGGTGATTTGCTGGCCGGCCTGAGGGCTTAACATGCCTGTGTTGCCTGTCGGGAAGCTTGCCACAGAGTCTTGCGGTATTGAACCAAGTGTGCCTGGCTGATACGGCTGAGGCGAGAAGCCTCCGAACCCAGCTCCGGTGAAGCTGGGCTGCAATGGCTGAGCCGCTGGCTGCTGCTGTGGTTGCTGGGGCGGCTGCTGTTGCTGCTGAGGCTGGCCGAACGGATTTGTGCTCTGCGGCTGGTACGGGTTAGAAGCGAAGCCTGTCTGTTGCGGCACAAATCCTGTCGGCTGAGGCGCAAAGCCATTCTGCTGGAATCCAGTGGGTTGCGGTTGGAAGGGACTGTTGTTGGCGAAACCGGTCTGCATCGGCATTTGCTGCTGTTGCTGGTGCTGTTGTGCGTTCGGCGCCATCGTCGTCTGGTTCTGTTCGATAGACTCGAAGAAGTCGATAAGATCGGGGGCAGGACCCTTGGCGGTCTCGGTCTTCGGCTGCGACAGGCCATTCGTGCTCGGGAACGTGCTGCTCGGGAAAGGATTGTTTGCCGCAGGCTTTGAGTCGAATGCGCTAGTCGGCTTTGAGGCTCCTCCCACCTTGTTCTTCTTGCCCTGCTGCTCAGCAATGTATTGTCTCCGGTTGACTTCGAAATCCGGGTCGCTCAAGTACTCCTCCAGCTGGCGGCCCAAGTTAACCGGCGCATGCTTCAACTTAGGAACCTCGACCCTTGTTTGGTGCTCGTATTGGCGTGCGACGCTGAGGTATTGCACTACGAAATCGGTCTGCTTGGTGAAAGTGCGGTAGATTGCCATGGCTCTTTCGGCATCGACCTTGGACATTTCAAAGAAGGTGCCTTTTCATGTTAGTTACAAGGACATGCTACGGCGTATGGGTCGCCTTACCGAGAATGTTAATCATTCCCTGGTTTAATGCCTGGAAGAGAGCCAGCACATCGAGCACCAGCAGTCTGAAGACGGTGACTGTAATTTCGTTTTCGATTTCGCCTTCGAGAACCTGTGTGGCGTCAGCAACTGTCGCGCTTGGAGACGCTTCGCAAAACCGAGTCGGGGACTAACATCGCATTTCAAAAGGGCCGAAATCTGACTCTGAAGAATCTCCGTCTCTCGCAGGAGGCCCTTGTCGACCGAGAGCTTCTCCAGTCTAGATTCCTTCGTCCGCACCCAATCGCACTTGGTTTCTCGGTAGGCTTTGGATCTCGCGGCGAGGTAGCCGGCGTAATGCCGAATGTTCCGTCCTTGTGTCTGGGCTGTAGGGTACTTCAGAAAACAAGTCCAACAAACCTCGGCCAGTACTTGATTTTTGCAGGAATGACTAACCGTCGGTGAAGCTGCTGATAGCAAGCGTGTTCGGGTGCCTCGACAGATAGGCAAGTGTGACATCGGGCGAGCCTTCACGGATCATCAGGTGGACGGTGATCAAGCTCTTGAAGACGACGGTCCATGTTGAGTCTCGTAGACGGAACTGCAGGGCGCGGAAGACCTCCCCCACGCCCGCTTCGCCGGCATGTGTCGCAACGAGAATGTGTTCGATATATTTCGTCTTGGGTGGCGCGGCCTAGGAGATGGGATTAGCACCATGACTGGGAGAGACGCGCTGAGCTGCCCGACGTGGACTCCAGCATCCCTTTGACCTACCTTTATCTTGGTGGCCCCTTTGACGGATTTTTCGAAGGAGCTCGACATTTTGTCGCTCGGTTAAACAGTTCAATCAAGTCGAACTTCTGTGATAATCAGGGTCGATAAGGTTGGCGACAGAGAGGAGGGTAGTCGTGGTTGTCGGATCGGATGAAAGTCGCACGAAAGTGGAAAGCGGCGATGGAAGAGTCCGGCCGTCACGGGCCTCGATCAAATGTCCTTGATAGAGCTGACCCCTTCAGTGGGTATTCCAACAAGCAGAGACCACGAGCTCGACAAAGGGTGATATTGGGTCGCTGGCGACAGCGAGGAGGAATGTGTGGGTGCGTCGGTGGTAACGGGGGCGCGACGACGTTTGGTTGCAGCCCAGGGAAACCCTCAACTGGGCGAAATTGGGTCCCAGCAAGCTTCAATGCGAGAGGGATAGTTCGGATCCGGAGTATGGACCTATGGCCATGACAAGGTGTTGGAGGGCCTGCGGATGGGGAAGCGGATTAAGGATACAGGATTGGATATCGTTTATCGTAACGTAGGCCTGATTTGGCTTCGTTGGGTAGGCCGGGAAATGAAGGACGGACAGCGTCAGTATTGACGATGGCCACGTTGGTCGGGAAGTGGTGGGATAGATGGACGGGGTGGACCGCGAAGGAGGACGGGCCACGGTCTTGATTTGGAGAGGTCGGCTGGTCGGGCTTGGGCTGGGCTGAGCCTACGTAAGGTTGCTGGACAGTGGTCACTGGTGTCGTGGTAGTGGAGGTGGGCGGGAGGATGGAGAGACGGGGGGAGAGAGAGAGGAGGTGCCGCCGCTGGCTGTGCTGGCCGTGCTGCTGGCTCAACGTGCGCTTGTTCGGGTGTGAGTGGCCGGCTTTGTCTCTAGCGAGTTCCGTTTGACAGCCCGCGATGCTGGTGAAGTTGTGCTGGGACACCTTCAGTTCTTGGGTACCTTAGTTCTGCTGGTCCAACGGGAAGCCACCTCAAGTGCAGGTGAAGGGTACGTACCTTCGGTTAGGCCGGTGATACCTCTTGGTTAATACCTTACTTTGGAAATCCTGGAACCTTGCGTTCGTACTGAAGCACGGATTGAAGTACGATGCTGCTGGCAACTCGGCAAACGTCCCCGTGGCAGCTTCTAGGTAGTTCCAACTGGCAACAATGAAATGTATAACTTGTACGTATCAAAGTGAGGTGGCCTTGGCGTTGATGGGTGCGATTGGGACTGCGACATGACCGCTAAAGAGATTCTCCAAGGGCAGATTCCATTCTCCCTAGGCAGTCTCCTGCATATCACTCAATCGATTCCATCACTCTTGCAGACGCCAGACAGCAGAAAGCGAGTTGATTCAGTTTAGCGTCTCTTTTGGCGTGTGTGAGGTGGACCGCAGAACGGGATCCCGAACACCATCTGCCTTGGCCCTTACCTAGGGGCCAAGCCATCTCACCCTTAAACCCTCCACCGGCGTCGAGGCTATGCAGCTGTAAGCCTGTGACTTATAGAAATGTGTGACCTGTGAGATGCATGCTGCCGTTGTCCCGTCTTTCCCCCTTGATGCTCCATGCTTCGTGACACGGACGAACACTGGCAGTCCCAATGAGCCGGGATCTTCCTACGACCTGTAGGCTGTGGGTGGGTGTGGGGAACAGAGACCGAGCCTGGTGAAGCAAGCATGGTTGTATTCTGCCATTGCTGATGATGGATCTGGTCTGATGAGGGCTTCACTGATCCGATCTTCTTGATAGCTTCATCAGTAAGCCTACCTTCAGCTGTGTACCTCAGTACGTTCCTATCCAACGATTTATACTGAACGCTCTTGATTCAATCTTCACCCCTCGTGCTCGGCGTAACTTCAAAACTTTGAACGGCACCATGAGTTATTGAAACACTTTGGGGAAACATGGGGTTCGCTGAATCATCAAACGGAGACATCCATCTCCTCCACATGTACGGAGTAGAGCGTAGCGGCACGATGGTCAGTTCTCGGACCCTTTATTTTCTTCTTTCGCCCGTCATCGGGGTCTTGATTGATTCATTCCAGTCTGGGAATGGCTGGCGAGCCGCTCAGGGCGCCATCCCCGTCAGTGTGTATGCACTGACGAGGTCAAAAAAAAGTCTACCATACAACAAGATTGTCCAAGATTTGGTGTATCCCATCCGCCACCGACGGCGGCCAGTCGCGATTCAGCTTCGTCCATTCTCATACCGCGCCTGCAAAGCCCCGAAAGCTTCACCGACGCGGGAGACCCGTCCGATGTTTCTCGCTCCAAGCCGACCGCAAATTCTCTGGCTGTAGCCGTGTCAGGAAGAACGTATCAACGTATCCGACCACAAGCTGCGCCATCACAAGGGGAAAATATTGTTCGCGCCAAGGCAGAGAACCCCCCTAGGCCTCACTCGAAGCCTAGATGCTCCCTGTTGTCGTCGAACAAACAAAAAGGCGCCAAGCCCACAGAATTCTTCCATTTCGTGAAAAATCAGATTTGCCTTTCATCGCGTCCGATACTAGTAACAAGGTCGTGTCGAACGCCTATGTCATGGCCCCCTCCGCCCTCGACACCTTTGCCCTGAAGCCACCAGAAGGGGAGAGCTTGGATGCTTCAGACGGAGGCAGCAGCATCATGTTATCCACGTGGCTATCATCACCTGCAAAATATCCAATTAGTATTCTCGTCGTCTTTTTTTTTCTTTTTTGAGTATGCGCAGTTGCGCTGAGAGAGAGATTGGGGGGAGACCAAACATACACTTTTTTGAAATGGAGAAATCATAAAGAGGAAAGGAAGGAAATTTTGGGGAGCTCTCTGAAAGATTTTTATACGGACGCGAGGATCTGCCCCGCGCTAATCGCTTTTTTGGTGGGGACCTTCTGCCTGAGGTGCCAGCAAGCGCCGGCTGGGGGACCTGAGGAAGGCGCCATGCTGCAGCAGCCCACCTGTGTCGCATTGGATGGGTGGGCTCCGACATCGTTCCACCGTCTTGTTGCAGTGAGCTAGGGACTTTAAGCTGTGATAGCTTCAAATGTCACAAAATCATACCTGATCTCAACCCACTCATCATTCCTTCTGATCACGCCATTGTGCCCTGCCGGAGCTTCAATTTGATCGCCGCACCTTCCAAATTTCACTCCAAGCTTTTGCGCGGTCGCTTGTCTTCAATCAGCCCTGCTAGACCTTCCCGATGCTTCGCCAATGCTGTCGCAGTAGAGCGTTGGCTGCGCTGCGTCCGCGCACATCACAATCGCAACCCCTTAGCCGAAGTCTCTCTCTTCTTCAAATCTCAATATGTAGTCAGACAAGTCTTCCTGGCCGTCAGGCTCGTCACCTGTCAACGGCGAAACCTCAGCAGGCGCAAGACGAGTCAAAACACACACAGCTGTCAGAGGAGTTCAAGGAGTGCTGTGAGCAAGTTCAAGAATACCAATGTAACTCCTGAAGCTTCTGCTAATTTTTCGAAAACAACAGTCGCACTCCCTCAAATGTCGTCGCCCGATACATGGAGTAAACCAGGCTCCTCGATCATCGTGAGCGGACACATCGGCCGAACGAGAAAGGTCGGCAAGAACCTGGCATTCGCCCACCTGGAGCGCAACGGGGAACGAATTGGTCAAATCTGTGCCAAGGGCGACAATGCGGCTACACTAGCAAAGATTCGTCCCTTCAGCGCCGTTTTGGCAAAAGGCGTAACGACAGACGCATCGAGCGCGACACGATTCGAAATTGACATGGATTCGATACAATACCTCAACCCATTCCCGAAGGACATCATCGTTGGTCCCGATACCGTTTTCCCGCCAGAGCAACGTCATCTCCAGCTGCGCTTCCACAAGGAGCTGAAGGAGAGGCTGCGGTTCCGTGCGCAGCTCAAGTCGTCCATGGGGCAGGCGATGGTGGACAGGGAGTTCATGGACGTCGAGACGCCCATCCTCTTCAAGTCGACTTCAGAAGGCGCAAGAGAGTTCATCGTGCCGACGCGGCGACCCAGATATGCCTATGCGCTGCCCCAGAGCCCCCAGCAGTATAAGCAGGTCCTTATGGCTTCTGGAATGGGGGGTTACTACCAATTTGCGCGGTGCTTCCGTGATGAAGATCATCGTGCAGACCGTCAACCCGAATTCACACAGGTGCGTGGCTCGTGCTGCTAATGAGTACAGGTAGCTAACATGATGACAGCTGGATATGGAAAAGTCATTTGCTACGGGCAAGACCATCATGGAGGACGTAGAATATGTCGTCGGCCGTGCGTGGGATGCTGTGAGAGAGCAGTACGTCATGGAAGTGGGAGAAGACTCATTCGCGCCGGTCAGGAAGGCATCACTCGAGGTATGCGATCGCTCTCCATTCCTAATGCAGCAAAGTAGAGTTAAGAGCTGACAGAGAATAGGACTGGAAACAATGTGTTCAGGACAGTATGAAAGACGACGCCAAAGCACCTCTCTACCAAGAATACCCTGCCATTTCTGCGCCGTTCCTCAGAATGAAGTACACCGACTGCATGGACTTGTACGGATCCGACAAGCCGGATCTGCGCATTCCCAACAGGGTCAGTTGCGTCCCATGGACGCCCCTAAGCATCACAAGACTAACAGCGTCCAGATATGTCGCGTTGACGAAAGCCTCAACAAGGACTTTGTCAGCATGATCACAGATCTCGACGCACCAATCGTCGAAGTCTGGAAGATCAGCCCACACGAAGACGCTGATAGGCGAGACGTGTGGAAGTTCGTGACGGAGTTCATGGAGAATTTGCCCAAAAGCCTATCACAAAACCCAGACGGCGCTCCCACAGCCTTGATGTTCGACAGCAGCAAACCGCTCAACGGCTTCTCCGCCCTTGGACCCGAAGGCCTAGACAGCATCCTAGGCTCTATCCCCGAGGAAGCCGGCTTTTCGTCGCTCGAGAACGGAGACATCGTCCTCCTCCAGGCACGCAAGAACCAGCCCCAGCAAGGAGGCTCAACCAAACTCGGCGAAGCGAGAATCGCCCTATACCACGCTGCCGTGGAGGCCGGCCTCCTAGACAGGGACGACACCTTCAAGTTCCTCTGGGTGACCGACTTCCCTATGTTCACCCCGGAAGAAGAAGGCGACGTCGGTCAGGGCGGCGCTTCGGGCTTCTCGGCCACCCACCACCCCTTCACGTCCCCGCACTCCGAGGAGGACTTTGAGCTGCTCTTCAAGGACCCGCTCCGGGCCAAGGCCGACCATTATGACCTCGTGCTCAACGGCGTGGAGCTCGGCGGCGGCAGCCGGCGTATCCACATTGCCGAGATCCAGGAGTTCATCTTCCGCGACATCCTCAAGATGAGCCAGGACAAGATTAAAGAGTTTTCGCACCTACTCAAGGCGCTAAGGGCGGGGTGTCCGCCGCACGCGGGCTTCGCCATCGGGTTCGACCGGTTCGTGGCCGTGTTGAGCGGCTCGTCTTCCGTCAGGGACGTGATTGCGTTCCCGAAGAATAATAACGGCGTGGACGAGTTTGCTGGCGGGCCGGGCAAGATGACGAAGGAGCAGTTGCTGACGTATAACCTGCAATTCCGCAAGAAGGAATGAGCAGGTTGAGGTACTCTCACTCTTCTCCACTTTGCGGCGGTACGCGTTCACTGTCACATACTGTACTATTTTGTAAAATCATCTTATTGTAACAATATTAACGGCCGTGGCCGCCTGGTGTGGATAGACGCGATAGAACACCACTTATAAGGATTTGGACAATTGAATCAGGGGATATTATTGTATTCCATATTCATCATGGTGACTCCATGGCGTGAACGCTCCTAATAACACAATCAAAAGAACCTCCCAAGTCATCATCATCCTATTTCAGTCTTCCTTTCCTTTCCATGATCACATCCCATCCAGATGCTAAATCGTTCTTCAGGATCTCTTCCACTGCCCAGCATCCTCAGCGCCCTTGCCGACAGAATTCAGCGCGCCCGACAATCCCTGTCCGAGGTTGGCAAGCCCATCGCCTACAGGGCGGCCAGCGGACCCGGTCGCGCTGGTGATGGTGTCGCCGACGCCCTGGGTCGCGGCGCCGGTGACGTTGCCGACGGTGCGGGTCACGCCGCCGACGGTGTTGCCTAGGGCCGAGGTGACGAATTTGGCGCCGCCCGTGACGCCTGCATTCTGATCGCTGTTTCCGACGGGCATTTTGGGGAAGATTGGTTTGTGTTGTTGGGAGGCGGGTGCGAGTTTGTTTAAGAGGGGAACGTCTTTTATTTTGGTTTGGTTGTGTTGTTTGTTGAAGGTTGGCATGCGGTTGGTTCGTCTGCCTCTGATTGTAAGAAGAAGTATCAAATAAGATGGGAAACGAGGTTGAAGTGGTTGAGGCCCCTTCTTATGAATGATTTGATGGATCGCTTTGTGGTTAAGGAAGGTGATGTGAGCTCCCGTCTGGGCTGTTCCAGTGTGACGTCAGAGGTGCAGGTGCGGGATGGAAAGCTCAGGGACCACCCCCCCCCTGTCCTAGGTACCGGTATCTGATCAGGCAGGCGGGGGTGTGAATCGCACCTATCAAAGCTTCCACCTTTCCACATTTTCGTCGTCAGATTTGACATCACACATCGCTGGCACCACGTCGTCTCAGACAGGGATATGCGGCCGTCCGGGGCTGACGACATTGTTCTAGCTTGTTGGGGAACACATACCGAAGTTGAAGATCGGCTTTCTTGGAGCTATGATTCCTGGTGACGGAGGCATGGGTTTATGGGATTCGTGTGATTGGGGAGGGTAGTTTTGAGTTCGGGATCAGCTATGCAGGGCTTTTGGCGATGTGTTCTCCTGTGGCAGTGCTCTGGGATTCAAGGAGGGTGACATGAGTAGATGGGATATGGTCTGGTCCTAACAGATGGGGCAGCCTCCCTCCATGCGCATGTGAATTTGTTCTCTGCCGGGCTTTCTAGCTGATGTCATCCCCATCGCCCAATGATATTCCGAGAGAGCCATGCATCGATACGTGATTTGCATGATTGGTGGAGGCGGAACAACATGGAGCTTTGGTCGCAGTGTTGACCTCTTTCTTTACTTTGGCTTCATCAGAGACGACTTGCCTGGCACGCCTGGGCATCGGAGCGAAGGCTAGAAGGCCCTAGGCACGGATCAGGGACCAGCGGACTCGAGATATCTAGACGTGATGTCGATTCGCTGACAAGCTGCTTCTCTGATAGGTTCCCTAGCTACTTCGCCTTCGGAATGAACATGCCAAAGTGAATGCCGAGCCTGGACGAGTCTTTCAATGCCACGGTGGAGTGACTTATATCGTCAACTCTTCATGTGCCCAAACCCTTCCTAATGCGCAGACGTTTTCTCTAAGATTGCAATCCGCCGCTCGTCTTGAAGAACGTTTCGCACGTGGAAATTTGATGGCCTCCACCAGGCTAACACGGGAACTCGTGGCGCCACGATCTGCCAGATCGACGCCGTTAAAGACAGGGCCAGTCGTGACACAGACTAGCTTTTGAGACCCGTTGCGTTCTCAGGCGCTAGCTGGATGCTCTGCAGCTGACGTTGTCTCAGGCGCAGAGCCGCTAGCTCGCTTGCATACTAACGGCAGAGTAGCGAAGGCCTCAAGCCAAATTTGTTCTCCGTCTTTGGCACCATTCTTGGGCGCTGAGTGGACAAAGCCAGAAAGTCTTGCTGAAACACCAAGTTGCGTATCATGCGACTGCTGATGAAACTTATGAGCAGAAACGTCTTGACCAAGTGGCATAGTACACAATTTCACAATATAAAAGAGCGTCCATTAACACGGAGAACTGTCTAATCTCCTCCAACGTCGTGAAGTGTCTCGCATTGGATGAGGGCGTATTGTTGATTGAAGCAATCGCACAATCTAAAGTATTCATCGGGGTCTCTAATAAGCTTTATTAGATGGGCAGAAGGACCGTCTCTTACTGAAAATAATAATAGTTTAAAGGCGTCCTACCCAGCTTAGAGCGTCTTGTGTAGTATTCCGGGATGTATACTCGTTCCGCGATGAAGACTAGTTAAGTCACGCTTCGTCTGCTCATGCCACGCTTCGTCGAGATTGGCAACAGCATACTCCGTACGAAAAGTTCCATCAACTTCTTTGTCGTCGATGACCGTGAGGGCAACGTAAGCTGGCTTCTCGAAGACCAACGATGCCAATGCGAACTGAATCTTATGGTTCACTTTCACAGCATTTGGCAAAGGCTTCCCTGCAATGGTGCACGTAGGAAGGAAAGCTCAGCTCGTGATCCTCGCTGGCTACTCTCACCTGACATGTTAAGAAAAAGTAGATTTGACGATGGCTTTAAGTTATGTTGCCTGCCGGAACGGAAACCACTTGAATACAAAGCGTGTGAGCTGGTAGCTTTTAAGGCATGCAGCACGTCTGTATTGTCGCTTCTTGATGCTTATAACGATGACTCCTCCCTCTTGGAAATAACTCCAAAGAGAAGGAGAAGAGTTGCTTGTATATACCACCAGACGGGCCTTCGACGTAATCTGCACTCCGATATTGCCCGCTCTTGCTTGTCCTATTTGCCCAAGTGAAATCCGACCTGAAGGCTACTATGACCAACAAAAGTCACTTCGATAGGCTAGAAGATTAGTCTCGACGTGTAAATATCCCATTCTTCCTCTGCTTAAAAGCACCGCCTTCTGGACAAGCGCTCAACTCGACGTGATCAGCCCGTCACTGACCCAGTCGCTACCTCTGCATCTAAGAAGCGTCCGCTCCTGAGCCATCTACTTTATCAGGAAAAGTACCATTCAGGATATCTAACACGTACTGGCTTTGCCAGAGTGAATATAGCGTTGATAAACTCAAAGTCTGTGCAGACCTCGGAAAGCCAGACATAAATTCCGGCAAAACAAGAAAAAAGAAATTGGGACGGAAGGAGGGGTATATCTAGATCTATATTATATTGATCTTGTTATACACGCCCCTGCCCGGACTCGAACAGCGCGCCCCTCAGTCAACCTCAACTTTGACTTCATTGATGCATTTGTTTGATCAACACACTAGGCACACAGCTTGACCTGACCCGTCGACCTAAACGGACGCCGCTGTGATGGTGACAGGAACGACGTTGGGATGATATATATACCCTTAGCCCCACATGATAAGGTAGGTTTGTCGTGTAAAGAAGAGAGAAGGGACGTGTAAACGATCTGAAGGGCTAGTAAGTCGTAAATTCTGCCTATTAAATACCCAGCACATCGCTCCTTAGACCTCGAAGTCCACGCTTGGGCAATGTGGCGTCTAATCCACACTACAGCTCATCTTGATGCATAGCCAGCCGCATCGAGAACTTACGATACTGTCAATGCTGAGCATCTTGGAGGTTCTAAAGGCTTGGTCGGGCGCTGAAATAGGTCTACAGCTTTTCTTCGAGATCCCATCTTCGTACAGGGACGTACTACCAGTCCAAATAATAGCAGAGTTCGCAGCGCCTGTAGGCTATGCTCTCGAGTTGTCTCTGAGGAGTTCGCTGATGGTGTCAGCATCATTAAGTCCCGATACATGAGTCAAGAAGAGATGATGCCGAGCACGGATATGAAGGATCGAGAAGGCGACGGCGATGCTGAACTGACTTGAAAGATGGCGGGCGAGCACACAAGCTGCGAAGAAGCGTAATACTAAAGTCTCTTCGAAAACACTGCCGCATGAGGATCATTCTAGATGATGAAAGCTCAATATTGAGTATTATACGTAGAAATCGCGTGGTGAGAGTGTATGGATAGACCACTCCCCAACATTTGAAGGGGCGGGCCAATGATACAGGGGTTGAGTCATCGAAGCTGAAGAGACCTTGGATACTGGGTAGCAAGCAGAGCCAGAGAGTGAAGTGTCAGTTGGGTTGAGTCCGATATCATCATCTCTGTCTTAGATGTGAAAACTTATGATAGCGTGAGAGAGATGTTCGTTGTTTCTTGTGAACGGGTGTGCATACGAAGCGTTTCTTGAGACACTAGGGGGAGTCAGATGAACCAAGATCCACTCAAATGAAAGAAACCCATGCAGGAACCAGAAAGTATGCTAATCTGGACGCTGTTTCTCCGACACACTTTTGCAGTTCCCACCTCAATTGTAGCCATTATCGTAGAGGACTAGAGCTCAGAGCTAGGAGTTTTCCAACATTTTCGTGCCAGCGGTTGAAGAGAGACAACTTTCCATCTTGAAGTGATGTCTTTGTTGAGATCCCATCGAGTGTACTGCTGAGTAAAGCAGAGTTGGCTTGAATGATGGCCGGTGACTTAACATAGGCCAACCGCTGGCAGTACCAATTCAATCTCCTTCTCAACGCTGTTCTCATCTGGCGTGTTAGCTATACCAACAAGGTCGTTTCCACTGGTTAGTTTGCACTGCCCCTAGTGTCTGAAAGCGAGAAGCAAATACCATCTTTAACTTCAATAGAAAAAGCCTGATTCTGATGAGGGGTTAAAATCGGGTACACGCTAGAGGACCACGTAACGCCTCTCAAAGCTAAGGCATAACCCGTGTGGGATGTAAGCGAACCCGGGTATCAGACACGTCCGTCAAGGTCCGTCGTAGCTGCACGTAAAGCTGGGTACGAGCTTTCGGAGCATTGGTACCGAGCTGGCAAAAGCTTGGGTAGCTACGGGGAATGGACAATCTAATTGCGGCTCGCGCTCATCATGCATTGGGTACCCGCGAGGACCGTAAAGAAAAGAAATGCCGTCATAGGCTGGTGTGCTTAAAGCAATTGAGTTGGTGGTCTGAAACGGAGGCATCGAGATGGTCGAGCTTGGGGCGTAGAGCGGCGGCCCCATTTTCCCATGGTAAAGTCTTGGTCATGCATTGAGGTACTCATCCACATTAGCATAAATCGATTGCAATTCTTCTCCTTCTCTCTACGTGAGAATCTTTTTTTCTTTCTTTCTTCAAGACTCTTCAAACTCTCTCCCCCAGTTATCATCATGTTTCCCGATAATCTCACCTCCAGCGGCAACATCTCCGGGTTTATGGTGGTGAAAGATGCATCCGCAGCGCTTCTCTCGCCATGGACGACATTCGACAAGGTCTACAAGTCGGTTATGGGCTACCCTGCCAGCGATTTCGAATTCGTTTACGGACAGACACCGCTCTCGACTTTCACTGAAGCCATGACTCTGGTGGTGCTGTATCTCGTCGTCGTTTTTGGCGGCCGGGAGGTGATGCGCAACCGCAAACCGCTGGAGCTGGACACGCTCTTCAAAATCCACAACTTTTTCCTGTCTCTCCTCAGCGGAGCTCTACTGGTTCTTTTCGTCGAACAGATCGCACCAAGCCTGTGGCAGAAGGGCATCTACGAATGCATCTGCGGACCAACAGGCTGGACACAACAATTGGTCGTTCTCTACTACGTGAGTAGTATTTCAAACCACCTCTAACTAAGGACATAAGCTAACTCTTCCTGGCAGATCAATTACCTCACAAAGTACTACGAGCTCATCGATACCGTCTTCTTAATGCTCAAGAAGAAACCTCTTACCTTCCTCCACTGCTACCACCACCCGGCCACCGCCCTCCTCTGCTTCAGCCAGTTGATCGGAGGCACCCCGCTATCCTGGGTGCCCATCACGCTCAACCTGACGGTACACGTTGTCATGTATTGGTATTACTTCCAGACCGCGCGGGGCGTCAAGGTGTGGTGGAAGCAGTGGATCACCGTCTTGCAGATTACCCAGTTCGTGTTGGACCTTGGTGAGTCAAACCGGTTTCCCCCAGCTCACTCGACATGCCATTGACGCAAACAATGATCATACCGATGCTAATCTGCGCCGACAGGTTTCGTCTATTTTGGCTTCTACGACGTCTTCGCAGACACGTACTTCAAGGAGATTCTCCCCCACGTCGGCCGGTGCGGCGGCGAGTTCTACTCAGCCGTGACCGGCGGCGCCATCCTGACGTCGTACTTGATTCTCTTCATCATGTTCTACATTTCAACTTACAAGAAGGGCGGTCGCAGCAAGGCGGCCGCACCTGCGTCGAAAAAGTCCAACCCGGCCGCCGTCTTCAACGAAAAGCAGACTTTGGCGGCGGCAGTGACCTTGGGAGGTAAAAACGCCACGGTTGAGCTCGAGACCTGATAAAGTTTCACAACTCAGCTTAACTTCATTTGCGTTTTTATTTTGGACAAAGCATGAACCCATAGAATACCATAGACACGAAAGCATTGTTGGTCGGGTGGTCCTTGAATTGAGCCCGGTGCTCGGGCCAGAGTCTTCAAGGCGTGAGGGGGAGACGAGAGGAGACGAGATACCTTATTGGTGCTATTGGTGGCGGTGACGGTGATGTTGGTGGGCTTGAGTATTGGTTGAGGTTCGAAAGCAGGGCGGGAGTTTACTCCGGATTGTGGAACAAATGACATGAGTTTATTGCAAGAGTGTGCCCATGTCTGACTGTATGCAAAAGTGAAATGCCATGTCTGATGGTGAAAGATGGTGGGATGGGGTGAGATGGGGAGGAAACATCTGAAGTGGTGCGGCCTGCGGTCTGCCGGAGTGAGGCGGGTCGATGGATTTAGAATTGCGGGCCTTCAAGGTATGGTCGGATCGTCTGGGGAATCCTGGTCAGCAGATCGCGCTAGTACGAATACGACCAAAATCCAACATGCTGACTCTCGAGGCCATTCTTCCTTTCCTCTCACTCAACAAGCGTTCTCGAGCACTTGAGTTGCTAGATTTCTGTCCATCAGTTTGGATCATGCGTGGCACTAAGAATGAATGGAAAATGTATTACTGGCATGATCAATTGCCTCGCGCCTCCGGAACTATTGACATAATGCCATCATGCCGCAGCCATGAAAGTGGTGTTGTGAGGTTTGTGCGCCTTAGTTCGGAGGAAGATAATTGACGGAAATCACATGCAATTAAAGCTGACGGTATCTTCATTTTGGCCACGCGTATGTTGTATTTGCGATGAGTTCAACCGATGAAGCTCTTGGCCTAAGTGCCGGCAGCAGGGCGGCTTGCTTTAGGTGGACAGCATCAAAGTGACGAAGCGCGGGCAAGCCTCCCCTTGTTTCAACCCTGAACTTCTTTCAACCTCCCGCACCAAGATCGTGATAAATAATCCAGTAATCTGGCAGAAACAAGCAGGTACCATGGCTTATGAGACATGGGCAATCGTGACAATACCAGCCACTAATGACCGGACGGCGTAGCGGAATCCGTCGGCTACTTGACTGAAGCAAGGTAAATGTCGATGATGAAGAAACAATGGAGTGATAAGATGAAAAGAGTTTAGAGAAAAAGAATGCCTGCATGGGGATTCGAAGGCCAAAGTTACAGAGAGCGGTAGCGCTGCACTTCGGGATTAGGGGTATAATCATCTTAAGCTTCTGGGCCGAAGTCCCTTTTGTTTCTGTAACTGACGAAGAGTCAGGCAGTTGCTTCCTATGAGCCACCAGTGACAAGTCTGATGTCATCCTTTGAGCACCCGACCTGCTCTCCTCGACTTTGATCCATCACCAAGGCTGCATCGAAGTCTATCCTCACTGCTGACCCGAAACGACATACGGATACAGAAGACTCCCATGATTCATTCCGTGGACGAAAAGCACTGCAACTGCACGGATAGGCCAAGAAAGCGATGGATTTGCAGAGTCCTATCTCTCTTCGATAATGACGAGGCCACCAACTGCTTTCTCTAGACTCCATGTTTCATGTTCCCATCCCAATTCATTGTCTTCGGTCCCGATAAACAAAGACATCGGCCCCGGAATTCCGTCTAGTTTGAAATTCCACGGCGACGGCGCCGCGAATGGCACCCTCTTCCGCCACACTTCCCCTCACCATGTGCTAGCGCCCCCTCGGCTGCTGCTTTGTGCTTTGTTCGATCCTCAACAACAGCTCACCAGCCCCATGGTTCTAACGGGGGATTCCCGCGGTTCATCAAAAGATGATGGCTGTCAGAAATGGTGTGCTAGTAATGGCACTGAAACTTGGCTGATCTAGTCCTTGATCTGGCAAGCGGTGCCAGTCTTGCCCGTGAGCCACATGGCATGCTGCCTCCTGTCTCACAACCGACACTCTCTACAGACCCATACCTACCGACATCGGGCAGTCTTGCTTGCTAGCTCAGCCCATCACTTTGGGGTCTGACGTTCAGCTACTCCGTAGAACGCCTGGGTAGTAGGTGCGTTTAACGCGAGGCTATTCCTAAATCGAGCTAATGACAATTCGCGCGCAGCTGAGGATGTTCTACCAGTGTTTTCGGGTACCGCCGATGATCTAGACAGTCAATCAACTGCAGGGTATGAACTAGTGATGAAGCTAAATAGAGACTGTGGGTGGTTTCTTGCCCCTCCTCTTAAGCAGAAGGCGGCAGCTTTAAGATATGTGGACGACCTGCGATGCCCAACAGCACCTCTTTTCTGAACTTGGAACCTACCCAAACATCAAGTACACAGAAAATTGTGCCGTCCGATACACTAGCTTCCAAAGCTCTTCCAGCATGCGAGATGACAAGAAGATGGAAAACGATGCCGAAAAGCGAGAGCCCGTAGCTGGAAGCGGTGCACCCATGACAAAAAGGCCCTCACTCGGATCTAGGCCATCCTCAGAGTTCCTCGGCGAGGAGCGCTCGCGAATCTCAGTCATACACTACCACGCTACTCCACTACCTGGCCTCGACGACAATCTACGTTCATCCTACTCAGAGGAGAATGACAACGATGGGGAGGACATTCTGCCACAATCCGTGACGGAAGAATGGGAAGGGAGGGCTCGCCTATCACAGGACCATCCCTCTGCCACTGGAACCGTGGCGAAGAGGGCGACGGATGTGACAGACGAAGAGACACGCAAGAGGAACAGCGAACTCTCGATGGCATATCAGAGCCTCTACAATGAAAACCAATGCCGCCGCCAAGATTCCATCAGATCCTCAGTTACCCTAACCGACGGGCCACGACCGCCACCAATCCCGCGACGGATATCATCTCTACGACAACCTGGCGCCGTACGCATGATCCCTAGCGAAGACTCGATCTCGCCCACGCAAATCCAAAGCGCGTCCTCCTTCGCCATAAAGAGAGTACCGTCACACACCGTCTCAGACTCACGTATGCTCTCTAGAACAGACGACGTAGAACGAAACGCCTCCTCATCACCGCAATCCGAGTCCGTGTCAATCATCTCGTCCATCTTCGCCCCGCAGCTCCGGCACCTCGCGAGCCATCCGTCTCTCCACGGGTCCACATCGAGTAGTGAGCCGCGGGGGATGGGGCAGCAGGGTCTCACGCCTGTCACGGAACAGAGACATCCTGGCAAGACTGATGCTCGGATTAGCCGTTTCACAAGACAATTTGAGCCGGGTATTGACGATGTTGATGGCGGGGACTACCAGCGCCAAATGACTTATCTCGATATGGCGAGGGCGGAGAAGCATGGTGCTGTGATGTCGCCGTCTTTGAGCGACCAGGTCGAAGGGGAGCAATGGGTAGAAGGATGGCGGCTTGCGGTTCTGGTAGTTGGGATCTGTCTCGCGGTGTTGTCCATCTCGGCAGATCGAACTCTTCTCACAACCGTAAGTGGCCATTTCGTTTGACGAACCTCCCAAACTGACAGTACCAGGCCATACCGCAGATCACATCAGATTTTCAATCCACCGCAGACATCGGCTGGTACGGCTCAGCTCAGCTCTTCACGATCTGCGCCTTCCAGCCTGTATTTGGCAGAGTCTTTTCGCTTTTCTCCGTGAAATGGGCATACGTCCTAGCCATACTCATGTTCCTTGCTGGATCGCTCATCTGTGGCCTCGCCCCCGACTCTCTTGCGCTCATCGTTGGCCGTGCCGTGGCTGGCTTTGGAAGCGCTGGGGTCCTCACTGGGAGTTTTGTCGTTATCGCAACGGCGGTCCCCGTGAGAGTGCGGCCGGTTTGTACGGCCATCGTCGGATTGATGTAAGAAACCTCCATCCAAAGAGAGGGAAGTTCAAGACGTATTGACGCTTATGCAACGACAGCTTCGGCCTCGGCGCCACGGTCGGTCCTCTGCTCGGAGGTACCTTCACTGACCTTGTCGTGAGTGATCCCGCAGTTCCGAATGTCCGCAAAAGAAAAAGGAAAAAAAAAAAAAAGAGAAAGTGACTGACCCCCTTCCCAGACGTGGCGATGGTGTTTCTTCATCAACCTCCCCATCGCAGGCTTCACCCTCGTCGTCTTTCTCTTTTTCTTCCACCCTCGGCAGGAACCGCAACACAAAAAAACCTTCCTCAACAAGATTCTTGACCTAGACCTGATAGGCAACGTACTCCTCCTCGGAGCCTGCGTAATGCTCTTCCTAGCCCTCCAGTACATCACCCAAGGCGAAGCCTTGTCAAGCACAAAAATCATCGGCCTCCTCTCAGGCACCGGCGCAACGGCCATCGTCTTCGCGGCATGGCAGTGGTGGAAACAGGACGGCGCGCTCTTCCCGCCAGCCATCATCACCCGACGAACCGTAGCCGCCTCCTGCGTCGCGGCCTTCGCAACGTACGGGGCTCTCCTCATCCACCTCTACTTCCTCCCAATCTGGTTCCAAGCGGTCCGCGGCGAGAGCGCCGTATCCTCCGGCGTGGACATGCTCCCCTACGTCGCGGCGATAGCCCTCTTCTCCCTCCTGGCAGGCATCTTCGTCTCCGTCGTGGGTCACCCCCCAGCCCCGGCCATAATCGGTGGCATCATCGCGACAGCCGGGTGCGGCAAGCTCCTTACGCTCTCGTCCGAGACGCCGACGCCTCACTGGATCGGCTTCGAGATCCTCGTCGCGGCGGGTTTCGGGATGGCTATACAGCAAGGGTTCACTGCCGTGCAGGCCGTCCTGCCGCCGGATGAGGTGCCCGTCGGGACGGCGGCGGTCGTGGCGTCGCAGGCGCTGGGCGGAGCCGTTTTTGTGTCTATCGGGAATGCGCTGTTTCAGAATCACTTGCTGCGGGCTTCGGCTCCCGGGGTAGATATCCCGGCAGTGATCGGGGCCGGGGTGACGGCGTTCCGGACGGTTGTGCCGGCTGAGACGCTTCCGATAATGGTTTCCGTGTACAATGATGCTCTTCGCGTGGTGCTCACTGTTGCGATTCCGTTGGCTGCCGTTTCGACCATTGCGGCTTGTTTTATGGAATGGAAATCTGTAAACAGAATGAGAGGTGCATGATAGTCATGGCGGCGAGATAGAGGAGGGGTTGATGATGATAATGAGCATGCCAATTAGCGTACTAGCGAGATGCTCATTCGCGATTTGCAACAAGCTTATCTCTATGCTTTTTGTGAGCTATTCCTAATTTGCGTTTCGTAAAAGACGACCCCGTGAGAGGCGTCTCTTTCTGATGAGGGGATCGATGACGATCGCAGCCATCCCGGTAAGGGCCGCAAGGCAACAGAATTAACCCCTGGCACCCGTGGAGCTGGTGGAGAGGGACCTGCAGGTGTTCGCAGTAGACGACACCTATGGCGCTCTGCTACGAAACAGTTTGGGCAGTCCTTACACTATAGAAGTCAATGACAACTGGGCTGTGAGAGTCCTGTATTGCGGTCATTTCCACGAGGCGCGAAACCCGTCTAGTCAAGCCCGTGTGCGGCGTGATTCGTTCAAGGCGTCTAAGGCTGGTCAGGGATTCGAATCCCTCGACCCCCAAAATCAGTCGCCAAGCGCTGCATGTCTCTAGAACCCTGGCTTCAAGGTGACTTTGAATGCCCAGCTTGGGGCATAGGAAATTGAAGCATAGCCATTGTGCCTGCATGGAGTTGCGAGTTATTAATCGCAGCGTTCCGTCCCGCACCAAACCAATGCTTTTCTCGCGTTCTCTTCCCCGTCGTGCCGAAACTCTCTCTCACCTTTCTTCAGGATTGCTCGGGGCAGCACCCATCGTTGACAATGCATCTGCCGCTGCTACCATGGCGGCTTCTCCTCGCAACGGTGCCGCTGGTCACGGCGGTGGCGGGCCAGAGGTGTTACTGGCCCAACGGCGTCGAGGCGACGCAGGCGGTAGCCTGTCCCGTCGCCGGCGGTACCGAGGTCGCGGCGTGCTGCTTCCAGAATCATTATTGCATGAGCAACGGCCTCTGCTTCTCGCAGACGGAGCTGAGCTTCTACCGCGGCGCGTGTACGGATCAGAATTGGTCGAGGAGCGGGTGTCCGAAGTACTGCGACAAGGAGGAGATTACCGGCGGAGGTAAGAAACTTACTTCTTGGTAGGAAGACGGGGAAGAGATTCTTCTCTTGTTTTGGGGGAGTTCTGTGCCTTTGGTTAGTATGAACTGACCTTTACGATAGTCCCCGGCCGGCATTGCGGTGTCGCGTTATGCGGCGACAAGAAATTCGCATGTCAAAACTCCGGCAACTGCGCAAACTACACCTTTGGCGTTCCCGCGGGCCGGATGCTGCTCAACGAGTATCTGAAATCAGACCTCGGCGACCTCGCGACGACGACGGTGACCGCGACCGCGGCAGTAGCAGGACAAAGCACCGGGGCCGCCGCCACGTGTTCCGCGACCGCGGCAGAGTCCAGTAGTAGCAACGGGATCTCGACGGGCGCGGCGGCGGGAATCGGGGTGGGCATCGGCACCCCGCTGGCGCTGGCGATCGCGGCGCTGACCGTCATGTTGTTGCGCGAGAAGAGGAAGACGAGGGCGGCGCTGTCGAGCCAGGTGGATTCTTCCGGAACGGGGCCGTCGTCGCCATGGGCCAAGTCCGAGCGGACGGCATATGTGCCGGTTGAAATGCATGGACAGCCTGTGCCGAATGAGATGTCTAGTAACCATGATAGGAGACATGAGCTTTCTTGATGTTTGAGGCTTGATGGTGGCTGGAGGGGTTGGTAGGGTGAATATTCGAGTGGAAATGGGTTCCGCAGGTCCTGAAACTGGAAGGTTATCTACGTAGCCATAGCGATGAAATCCATGACTCTGTAGTTCTCTTCAAGACTGTGCACTAGATCCTGTTGGCCAATGGGCCACCTCCTATATTCCCAGATCACCAACGCTCAAGATGCAGGATTAAATCAGTCACGTCATCCGGTCCTGCCGAATCTGACACCTGGTAGGGTTCGGCGGATGGAAATTAAGATATGTTCTTGAGAGCCATGGTACATGGCGACTCTCAAGTTATACCATTATTAAGTAAGTCTGAAGCCGTTAAAGATCGCTGAGAAGATGCAAAAGACACTGTTGTGAAAGAATTTCATCGTAAGCTTCAATCACATGTCCAAGGACATCGTTGGTTGCTAAATCGGCGCGGTCGTTGTAATCAGTCGTCTTGCTTCCATATAGGGTGATGATTATTCAAGATGAGATGCCTGCTGCTCGGGTCACTGTAACTCCCTTAGGAAAGTTAGATCACTTCATCGTCGCCCGTCATTTCAACCTCGGAAATCCCGAATTACCGCGAATTACAACTCGACCACGAGAATCACTTCCAACCAAATCAGACTTCTATACAGCTGCAGTTGCGATTCAGCTCAGACACAGGCTAGACACGAGTTATTTCGGTTGACGCGCCAACGAGGCGAAGCACATGCAGGCGCCCCGGCGGCTACGACCCCAAGGCCAGCCAACCACCGCTCACCCGCCCTCACCACCATCGCCATCGGGCGCCGTTTCGAAAAGGGTTCGTTAGTATCCGTAGACGGATTCCTGCCGTCGCGACAGCTTGCACTTGAAGCGTTCATCATACGCTTGGCCCCCCCTCCTCTCGTCCCCCTTCTCACTGTTCGCGCTTTAGGGCTGAGGCTAAATTGCATGGGATGGAACGTGGCGTCGCCGGGCGGTCGCGTTTGCGCTTACCACGAGGGAGGCAGACAGAGAATTGTCTCAGGAGAAGGGAAGGTAAGGCTCGTGCTGTCCCCAATCCCCAAAACAAGCTTGTTCGTACATGGGTTTCTCAGCTCAATGAGGCATCGTGTGAAAAGTGAACCCCCCAGGTGGCGCGCTGCATGGTAAGCTCGGTTGCCGCTTACAGTACCATCGTAGCCGGGGTCTGACGGTGTGTTCACCCTGGCGAGCTGAGCTCTTATTCAAGTACTCGGCTGGCAGCCCGATCTCATTTTTGCTCTTGGATTCCTTTTGATCTTGATGCCATTCTTTCCGTTCAATCTGTGATCGTCGTGCGCGTTGGCCTTTCGCCTCGTCTCTTTCTACTCTCCTGGCAGGATATCGGAACAAAAGAAGAAAAAAGGGAGGAAAAACGACAGAGTATTTTAGGAATGGCCGATCAAATCCAACACCGTCCCCACGCGGAGGCGACGGCGCCAGACCAGCCGGGCCTCGAAGCGGCACCGAGCCGGTACTCCACCGCGCCGATCCCGTATGACCCCTCCGAGTTCCAGAGCCCGTTGGAAAAGTCGACGTGGACGACAATCACGCAGGCCCATCACCCGGCGTATGCTTCCGCCGCGGCGGCAGACGCGCCGCCGCCAGAGAGACGGCGCGTTCTCGGACTGACGGTGCCTGTCTTCTGGAGCCTGGTGATTGCGCTGGTGGTTGTTCTTGCGGGGGGTATCGCCGGCGGTGTGGCGGGGGGTTTGGCGGCGCAAAAGGCCAACAGTTCGGCGGTGTCAGTGTAAGTTCACCTGTTTCTTCCACTTACTAGAGCAAGACGAGAACATAGTTGACTGAATCTAATGTCCATATAGAGACCCGTCTTCAACGGCCTCAGCAACAGCAGGCTCGCAATCGGCGCCTACAACCTCAAGCGCAAGCTCAGGCACAGAGTCCCAACCTTCCAGCTCGACAGCCACCTCATCCACCACGCGCTCAATCCCGACGGGCATCCGCTCCGCGCCAACGGACGGAGGCTGCCCGAGTATCAACACGACGACCTACACGCCCACCGACGCCGGCGGCAACGCGATGAAGATCGGTTCTGGGTACTCGACGCAGACCTTCCGCCAGCTCTGCGAGGTGAATTACCCCTCGGGCGCGGCGTACGGAAATCCGGCTCTGTACGATATCCTCAAGGTGTACGTCTCGACGTTTGAGGAGTGTATGGCGCTGTGTGCGGCGCATAACCAGGCGTATGGGAGTAATCTCGCCAGCGGGGATGTCAAGGCGGGAGGTTATTGTCGGTCTGTTGCTATGATTAAGTTGCCGGGGGAGTATTGTTACCTGAAGAATGGTACTGGTAAGATGGACACGCAGGGGCACGCCAAGGATTTTATTAGTGGTGTTGTTATTTCTGGGCTGCCGGATGCGTAGGGCTGAGTATGTGGGAATGGGATGCCTGAAGTCTTTGGGTTTGGGGAGAGGCTGGAGTAATGACATCTATCGAACGGCTATATCATTGATTGCCGGCACTTAATGTATATACTTTGAACCCTATGACATATGATCAAAATGCCGATCCAAGGTCAACCTGTTGGTGTTTGCTCAAGCTACAGATGTACTGCAAGGCTGGATCATCGGTAGCTGAGGCTCTGTTTTGAGACTTCGACCATGAGCCGCCACCAAACACACAGCGGCAGTGAGTAGCTCGAGGACGATGGAGGTGTGACTGAGGTGTGTGCGATGAGAGCGGGAAGAAGCGAGGTTCGGCGTGGTTGCATAAAAGAAGAGAGGCGCGACGGACATATCTGCCTATCAAGGCAGGGAAGATAAGTTGCGGACAAGCAAAGTTGCCTTGCTGGTGTGCCAGAGATTGTGAATGAGGATTCGTCTGGAGGCGGTTTTCTTATTGTGCCTTGCGCTCTTTACCGGGATATCGAACCCTCGGCCAGATTGAGTTAACCGTTTCTGGGCTGTTGAGATGGCAATAAAATAGACCTTGCTCGTCAACGTAGAAAGGGCTCTTCACTGGCCGAAAGAAGGTATTGCAGACGTCCTTGGAGGAGGTTGGGAGGTTGAGCATGTGTTTATGGATCTTGATAATTCTACTTCACTCGGCCTGAGGGATTAGTAAGTCAGAAATATCCCCGAGCAAGCGCACTTGCGAAACATCAGACTCGTAGCTGTGAGAAAACAACTCAGAGAAGCATGTGACGTGGTTGAGGTTATGAAGCAAATGAGTAAGGTATCTTCGGGGGAAAGAATTCATGGTGCAATATTGACTCATCCTTCTGATCGCGTGCGCGATAATTTTAAATACTTGAACGCAACGATTGGGGAAATATCGCCGACTACAACGGCCTTGACTCCAATCCAGACATTAGTCTTATGAGGCAGGAGCTTCATTGACGTCAACAATTCCAAATCAAAGCTGATGCGATTGATAAGATTCCCAGCAGCATGAGAACCCTTGTAGATATAAAGTTCCCGACACCGGTGACCACCTCAGTCCACAATTCACGAGAAGACGAAGGGAGAGGTACCTAAGGTAGATACACGGCACACCGTGCAGCAGATTTGTGGCTCGGAGCCGAGTTGCGTCACTCGGAAGAGCCTCGGCAAGTGGGGCTACCGACGGAACGGGGAGTCGGCGACTCGGTGCTTAGGTAATCCACACAGTCACGACAGAGAAACGGCACTCCGATCACGCATCCAGACCACATGTGGTTTGGCTTGGCCGTCTGACAAGACGCTATCAAATGCACCCTGAATCGTGCGGCAGGCCCCGATTAAAAATTTCTGGAATTCTGGAATCCACCACCACCAGCAGCGCAACGCATCAAGTCTCCCAGATCCCGGCCACCACCATTAGAAATCATTTTAGCTGTGCTGTTGCTGCAGAACCACTGTCTGTACTCCGTGCTACCACTACCATCCCGGGTCTGCCGTCACGATAGCGGTCCACGAATTTCCAAGTCTTGATTGGAAGCAAACCCCGTCGCCGTCGCCGTCCTGCCCCCTTCCATTCGTTTTGCCCCTCACCCCTCCTCTCTCTCACACGCCCCCTGGCGTACTGTGAGCCTGTGGCACCCCCTCCTCCCCTCTTGCTGTACATATATCTCTCTTTTTCTGATACCCCGCCATTTTTTGGAGAGGATAGTGCGTGTTCCTGAACGCGCATATCACCGCCAAACTGTTCTCTTCAACCTTTAGACGAACAATCCTTCGCTCAAGCGCCACTGGTCTATCCTTTGCCGCAGCCACCACATCCCTCAAGAAGAACTCTACGAACCCTGTTGATTTAAAGTCAAGTGCCCGCAAAATGCACAACAAGGTTGTCAGTATGTCACGACTCTCCGCTCCTGCATTGTTGCCCCTCCTGCCAAACAGCAGAGACAAACATGCCTCTCAAGCCGTGATGGCTTCAAATCTTGCAATGCGCCTTGCTAACCTCATTCTACAGTCATTGGCTCTGGGCCTGCTGCCCACACCGCCGCCGTCTACCTGGCGCGCGCTGAGCTGAAGCGTAAGCCTCCTCCCACTTCCTCCCGTCCCCCCTACTCCAGGACCATCTCACTGACGATACTTCTCCCCTCCAGCCGTCCTTTACGAGGGCTTCATGGCCAACGGCATCGCCGCCGGCGGTCAGCTCACCACCACCACCGACGTCGAGAACTTCCCCGGTTTCCCCAAGGGCATCATGGGCGGCGAGCTCATGGACAACATGAAGGCCCAGTCCGAGCGCTTCGGCACCACAATCATCTCCGACACCGTCGCCAACCTCGACCTCTCCTCCCGCCCCTTCAAGTACTCGACCGAGTTCGAGCCCGAGACCACCCACACCGCCGATGCCGTCATCCTCGCCACCGGCGCCTCCGCCAAGCGCCTCAACCTTCCCGGCGAGGAGAAGTACTGGCAAAACGGCGTCTCCGCCTGCGCCGTCTGCGACGGCGCCGTCCCCATCTTCCGGGGCAAGCACCTCGTCGTCATTGGCGGCGGCGACTCGGCCGCCGAGGAGGCCCTCTACCTCACAAAGTACGGCTCCCACGTCACCGTCCTCGTCCGCCGCGACGTCCTCCGCGCCTCGCAGATCATGGCCAAGCGCCTCAAGGGCCACGAGAAGGTGACGATCCGCTGGAACTCGGCCGGTAAGGAGATCAAGGGCGGCGACGACGGCCTCATGAGCCACCTCGTCGTCAAGGACACCGTCACGGGCGAAGAGGAGACGCTCGAGGCCAACGGTCTCTTCTACGCCATCGGCCACGAGCCCGCGACCTCGCTCGTCAAGGGACAGCTCGAGACCGACGAGGAGGGCTACGTCGTCACCAAGCCCGGCACGCCCCTGACCAACATTGAGGGTGTCTTCGCCGCCGGTGACGTTCAGGACAAGAGATACAGACAGGCTATTACCAGTGCCGGTACCGGCTGCATGGCTGCCATGGACGCCGAGAAGTACCTCGCCGAGCTCGAGGACGGTGACCCCAAGGACCCTTCCAACTGACTAGATCATCACCTCTAAACTCAGAAAAAAAAGAAGAGTCGTGAATGGGCTATTTGTGAGCCGCATAATGATATAGAAGAGCCTCTAGACTAGATATGCCGGCAAAAAGCACGAAAAAATAGACTTTTGAATTCAAGCGTATTAAAATCATTGTAGACAAAAAAGGGTGGTATTCTCCCATCGCCTCGGAGTCAGATCCGAGTCGACCGAAGCAGATCTCGGAGATATATGCCCCTGACCGCGTCCGTCGGTCCCCTACTTATGGCCGGGCTTTCCCGGATCTGCGATCCTTGCGGTTACAGCTGCTCTCTCTTATGCCTTTCCTTTTCCTTGATATTTGTTAGACTACCACCCCAAGCTAAGACGTCAGCGTGGAGGCAGCGTTATTATTCAAAGAGCCGCTGTTTCCCTCATCAAAAATCGAGGAATGCGAACAAGGTCGTGTGTCGTCCCAAGTTTTTATGAAGCTTCTGAGCTCAGGTACCCCCGTCTCTGTCCCTACCTAGAACCTAACTCGAGTGCTCGTCGTTGCAGAATCCAAGTCATCCCTTCGCCCCCCTCCACATCTCGGACTCCTTCTCATCCAAAGAGTCTGCTCATGCAGAGAGCAGACTCCAACTCACCACTCCCCCAAGGCTTCAAGCCCACCGACCCCCCACATGAAGCTTAAAATACCTAACGACTGGTCCTACCGATACCTAATGCCCCAGAAAATCCAGCGCCCAAAGAAACGATGCAGAGACACTTCCGTTCGCCAGCGCATGCGTGTCGCCTCGCTCGACCCACGAGGGACCATGCGGTATGCGGCTCGAACGCTTGACGCCTTGCCCAAAGCATTCCATTTCATCCACTCGTTGGTCCTTTTTTTTGGCCGCATCGTCCGTTCCCACCCCCATCCCACCATCCATCCATCCAAACTTGTCAATGGACCCGACTCGTAAAGGCACGGGAATTATTAGAGAGTAAAAAAAGTCTCACTATGGGCTTTCTCCAATGAGCTCCCGTGGGGCGGGGTAAGGTGAAGTAGCGCAGGCGTTTCAAACCACGCATCGCCCATGATCAGCCCATTATGTACCTTGATCTGTATCTCGTACCATGTGCCGTGAACTGGAGAGAGAGTGAGAGTTTCTTCTTATACTTAAGTTCGCCTTCTTCGTCTTCTTCTTCCCGTCTCCACTTTGTGTCAAAAGCGAAAACAGAAAACCAAGGCCCGACGACATCTTCCTCCTCCCCGGTCCAACTCCAACTCAGAAGCATTCGGAAAATAAGTAACAGAACCCACCGCCCACCCTTCTCCCCAAGATCGTCAATATGCCAAGCAGTAAGGGTTATTCGTACAAGAGCAACAGCCAGGTAATTTGAGAACCCAAAGCCAATCCGAGGTTCTCGTGAAAGTAGCAAAATACTCACTGCGGGGGGAATAAAAAGGGTAACTACTCCTGCGCTCGCGACTACGGAAACAGCAGCAGCAGCAGCTCTGCGAACCCGAACTCATACCAGTATCCCAGCGCGTGAGTGTCAATCATTCTTACTGTTGATCATCCTCACCCAGTCTTCGATCCAAGATCTGGGGATGTACGTTTTGCGCGGGGCGTGAGAGGAGGCCAAAAACCGAAAGACTGACGGAATCCTGCTAAACGATGGATAGAAGCGGCTCAATTCACTACTCAACCCCCAAGAGTGAGAGGTATGAAAACGACGGCAACGGCGGTTCACCGTACACCTCGGCCAGCGGATACCGAACATGCTCCGGGTACGGCAAAAAGTAAGCTTTGAGGGAACCTTACCTTGAGTTGGGGTGTTTACTCCGCACCTTGCGTGCCTTGTGACTGACTTGGTTCAAGTGTTGGAATGAAATAACGACAAGGGAGACATTGTAATGCGTGATGACGGAGCGATTAGGTGATTATATTTGTTGGAATTGGGATGCTGGACTCTTTCTTCTTTGCCTCTAATGGGATGAGTACTATGTTGTTTAGGGGTTTACGCGCAATTGGGATACCTGTAGCGAGATGCGGTAGCATATGAAATCTGGTTTCGGTTCGGAAGTGTAGGAATGAGAGGCGCGTGAGTTCAACAAGTGAGTTGGTGCTTGAGGGATGTCATTTGCTTTTTCCATGCAAGCTGATCCCTGAAACGTGGGGGATAGCTGTGCGAGTGAGGGGTTCTCTGGCTCTCATCCCACTCGACTGCCGGTCACATCGATTCATCGACAACGCGCTTGGGAGTAGTCTACTGCTTATATGCTCTGCAAGCTAGAAGCCATCCCCAAATTCTCAATCGCAGTCCCTCTGATTTTGTCTCTTTGGACATGATCGCTAGGCTCTTCTGTCAACTAAGATGTTTACCTATTTGATATGAGATCCACCCAAACATCGACAAGTACCAGGATGATCCCAGACCAGGTCACCAAAAGTGGCAGCTTGGTTGGCAGCGGGGGAAAGTGGACAAACGCTTATCTTGTCGGGGAAAAGCAATATACCAACATCGTGCTGCCCTTCGTCGCTGCTTCTCTACGCTACAAACTTGGTTGTGATCAGGTATTCGCATAACGGGCAATAAGAAGGAGAAACGATGCAATCACATGTCCTTGCCTGACTTGACTTTGGAGCTTTGACATGGGTCCCGCGGGAAGGCACATGAGAGCTTCTTGCAAGCCACAAGCAACACACAAAGTAAGGTAAGTTAAGGTAGACAGGAAGCTTTCCAGTTGTTTCTGCCCGCTAACAATCAATCCGTGATGCGGGGCGGAAAAGCATACATAGACCTTGCGTGATCAATCAAGGTGTTTTGCCTGGGTACCTACCTATTTAATCTCCCATAAACTCCCGGTGACCTCACCCTTTTATCCCCTCTTCTTCATCTCTCTACAATCCTCCTCCAATACCACGCATTAAAAACCATCCCAATCAACCACTTTCGTGTCTCAAGACCGACAAGCAAACAGCCAAGATGAGCGGACAAGGTTACGATTACAAGAGCTCCGGCACCAACAGCGAGGTACTGATCAATTCCTCACTCCCGAAGCTGCCAAGAGCTTCGAGCTGGAGATGTGCATGACTGACATATCGACCGGCAAACCCAGGGCAACCACTACTGCGCGCGTGACTACGGTAGCAGTGCTTCCAACTCCAACTCGTACCACTACTCTAACACGTGAGTCCAACTTGCTGCTCCTCCTCCTTGCCCGGTTGACGATCGCTTGTCTGAGGGGGGTTTCCCCCCCCCCCCTGATTTTCAGTGCTCCAATCAGTATCTCTCGTCTTGCCCTTTCCTATTCGAGATATCAAGGAAAGAAAGCTGACCAGCACATCTCAAGTGACGGATCCTACTACTACTCCAACCCCAACGGCAGCACCTACTACAACGATGGCAACGGCGGCTCAACCTACACCTCTCCCGGCGGCGAGAGAAGCTCGTCCGGCTATGGCAGTGGAAGCTCCGGTAGCTCTGGCAAGAAGTAAAGCGCTGGCACCTGCACAGCTTCTGATGGTATCAAGGGAGTAGATGGGGACCCGTCGGACGACCAGAATTGTATGGAGACATCGAGAGGCCTCAGTTCAGTAGCGACGGCGTCATTAAACCTTACGAATTTACATGCCGATATGACCTTTCCTTCGCCCGCCTGTCTAGTCGTTTGAGAAGTGATACGCAGGAGGTTGAGGGAGACGTGGTCTTAGGGCCTGCTTTATCGGGATCTTCAGCAGAATGCCTCTTTGCCTTCCTGGCCGGTCTCAAAGATAACGTCGCAAAGACTATAAAATATTGAGACGGGAGCAAGGTCAGCGGTAGCGCCCACACATGTGCGAGTGATGCACATAGGATGAGGCTAATGGTTCTGTGATCCTACCTCATAAAATCAGGATGAATATGTTTCTGGATCAAGATTGAAGCAGCTCGTTCGGACGAGAGCCCATAGCCAAGATCCCTGGATATCAAGGTACTACCGACCGTTTCCCGTGACCGACGTATTCGTCACTAATTATGTATGTGACGACGGGGTAGCTCCTATAGGGATTAAGGGCCTCTGCTTTCGAAGTAAGTAGGATAAGATGAAGACAGTCTACTTGGATAGGAGCCCATCCTCAATCTCCAGATACCAAGATAACGCTGTAACAGCTATAAAATATGGATCCGAGAGTATGACCTACAGCAGGACCAGCGGTCGTACTGAACCTGTGTGCGCGTGACACACATGGATGCGGCCAGTGGTTCCCCTGCCTCAGATAATCAAGATGCTTATGCTTTTGAACCAAGCAATTGAGACAACAAGAAAGTGGTTCATGCGGATAGGATCCCGAGATACTGATTATTTTCCGTTACTGACGTATTCGTAACTGACGATGTGCTTGATAACGACGGGTTCCTATAAAAACTAAGATATCCAGAGCGTACCTCTGAACTCAAGCAAGACAGACCACATCCCTGGATGCCAAGGTGCTGGTTGATTCCCGTGACTGACGTATGTGTCACTGACGATTCAATAACAGCCCGTTCCTTTGCAACTAAAGATGCCTGTACCTCTAGACCAAAGACGATGCTTGTGGTACTAGCAGGTTCTAACAATAGTTACCATCTTTAACATATTCCATACGGCGTATGTGAGATATGGGCAGTGATGAGATAAAGGAAAAAGGCATGATGTGGGCATTCTTGGAGTCCTCGTTATTAGCGCTATCTCTAGCGATAGCGCCCGAGTGTAAGGATAAGGAGAGGATAGAGAATCGAACTTGGCCTAGAATTGAACGTCCGCTTTACAACCTGAGATGAAAGAAAAAAGATGTATGTTACAAGACTGCTAGATGTGAATGTGCGACCCTATCGTGCCCTTCGTTTGAGCATTCAGTAGGGCTTAGGAATGTATGAAAGCTCGAGCTTTGCTTTGAAAAGAACCTTCATCTCATGGCTTGGAAAAAAGAAGACATTTGTTGCAAGACTGCTAGACGTGAAAGAGTGACTCTATGATGTCTTTCACCGGTCCCCTCCTCAGGCGGTTGACTACATAGGCTGATTGTACTTCCCTAGTAGCAATATAGCACGTCATGACACCGGTCACAATCTCACTGGATCAAGCCACTGGCCTTGAGATTCTTCATGAGTTTCATTATTGTTACATATTACGTCGAAGATGAGCTCCAAATCAGCTCATCTCTGAATCTTGCGTCGTCTATATCGTGACACTTATTCTCATGTTTTCCGTCATCGCCTACTACCTACCCTCTGTGGTAGCCTCGCCGGACAACACAGCTTCCTGTCGGCAGCACACCAAATGGCATGCCTCTGAAAGTTCATGGTCCCTCTCAGTACCTCTCCCTCTCCTGCCTCCTCATCTCCTCCCGGAAAGCGTTACCACCCTGGGGCTCATGGTGCGGGAACGTAGCCGAAACCGGGCTTCCCGCAAGACTTCCCAGGGCATCGCTATCCCTCCTCGCATGACCGAGACCACCGCCACCATTGGTGTTGAGTCCGCCAGTATGCTGCCTCTGCTGCTGATCAGGCAGCGGCTCGTCGCGGTACACATACCCATCGGGGCTAATCTCCCGCTGCCTCAACTGAATCCCGCGATCCTTGCGCCCGCCATGGAACACGCTCTGCCTAACCTTGGCCCCCAGCCTCTGCGCCCGCGACTTACCGACACCGTACCCGTGTCTCGACCGGCTCATAATATTCCCCAGCCCGATCTTGCGCGTCCGCCGGTTCCAGATACACCCGCCAATGACGCAAATGATGATGAACCCAAACACGGTGGGGAGAGCGATGTACAGCTCCGCGCCCTTGGGCATCTTCGCGGCCTCGGGGTGCCACTCTGGCCGCTTGGCGACGAGGACCTGCGGGCCGGTGATGGCGTCCTGCGCGGTGCCGTCGATGGTGTAGGACATGAGGAGCTCGATTGTGGCGTTGTCTTGGCCTGAGGGGATGAGGCTGGAGGAGACGGTCCAGGCGTAGTAGCCGTAGGAGGCCGGGTTCGTGGTGTCTGTGTCGGCGTTGAGTACGATGTCGCCTACCGTTGTGCCGTTTACGGATTTGCCTTGGATTTGGACGTTGACGTTGGTCTTGTTGCCTTTGATGAGGACAGTGGGGTCCCAGGTTACTGGAAGATGGAATGGTCAGTTAGGTGTTCGATATCCCACGTCCATCACCTGTACAGGGAGAGGTGAATCCAAGATGGGAGGTCTTACCATAGTAGGTGCCATCGGTATAAAGCGTGCTCCCCTTATTCGGATCGCAAAAGGGCGAAAAGTCCCCCTTGGTGTTACTGCACGGCGCAAAGGCACCCGCGCCGCTCTTGCTGTCGGCCGTGGCGACGGGCGGGGTGCCCGTGCTGGTGGTGACCTTGACGAGGTGCCAGTCGGTCAGGGTGAAGACGCTACCTGTCAAGGCGTTGGGGGCGGCGGAGGCGTAGGTCGCGGTGCCGGAGATTGTGGTTGGTACGGGGGTGACGGTCGTGGGGACGCCCTTGTTGTTGACGCTGATCCAGGCGGCGGTGGGAGCGATGACATCGGCGCGGGCGACGAGGGTTGGCTCGGGGACGGGAGCGGGGATGGCGGCGACGGGATTGAGGAGGAGGGAGAGGGCAGCGAAGACCACCGGGGCGAGGTTGGACGTGTGCATGTTGAGGGTTCGGGAGAGAGGTTGGTGGATCGAGAGTTGGTGAGAGCTTCACGAGCTTTCAAGGGACGAGCGAGTGGTTCGATTCCGGTGGGTTCAAGCAATCGAGCGCGTGGAGTTTCGTCAGAGCTCAGAAACGAAGGTGATGTCTAGTCGTCAAGGAAGAGACAGAGAGTCAATTGACAATCCTAAACTCTCGTCCAAATGAATGGATTCAACGACTCAACGTGTGGGAGAGAGGTGTTGAGTTGACAACCGAGAAGGAGGACGAGACGGGATGACAGAACGGGGAATGGTCCAATGTTTACACAGGAACCACAAATGGGACGAACGGGGCGGGATTTTAGCATAAAAAAGTTGGTTGATCCCCCAGGTCGCGTGGAGGCCAGACGTGAATCCTTCGAGCTTCTCAGTGGATGGTCGACCGTCGACAGGGGGAATGAACCCCACTGCCCAAGATTGGCTTCTCCAAAATACAAAGTTCAGGGGGGGAAGCGGGTGATGAAAACAGGCTTTGATTCGCGCTGTTTGGGGCCTGGGCTTACGGACTTGACTTGCCGGTTTGCCGCGATGCAGGAACCAACTTATCGAGTAGTTGGAAACATTCTTAGCGGTGGCCTTGGCTGTGATTGGACAATTCGGTTACACGATATCACGACTCCATCAACACCTTTCACACCTTTGGGAGAACCTCATGATCTTGAGAAATCGGCGCTCATTGTTAAAGCGAAGAGAAACTCTTCCGATCAGCGCTATAGTATAGACGCTTCCCCCCATTATCAGTCCCCGTTATCAGTCCCTCCCCAGTCCGTTTGGTCATCATTCGTTTCCCATCCCTCGTAATTCGTAGTATCATGCCGTCAAATCGATGAGCCCGCCATGTGTCTCAACAACACCCATCAATGCGGCCTCATCATCGGACCATGGAACGTCCTATGTCTTCTCACAGGCACCCTCGCAGCCGGACCAGGCGACGGAACAGCCATAGCCCCTTCACCCTCCGTCTCCATCTCCGCCATCCCCATCCCCTCCACCCGCTTCCCCCGTCCTCTCACAACTCCCAGTCCCTCATCGGGCCTCCCATCCGTGATCACAACCGGCACCTGATTCTGATGCGGCCTCCCGACCTCCAACGGCTCCCGAAACGCCTGCACCGGCCCAGGCCGCCTCTTAAGCCCCATCTTGACCCTCTGCGCGTCAATTTTCTGCTCGTCCGTTCTCCTGTCCAACATCCCGTCAGCGACCGCTTGCAAGTCCAGGGCGTCTTTCAGCTTGTGGCCTGGGCACGCCGCGTTGGGACACCTGCCCGGGAGGATCTCGGTCTTGACCTCGCCGTCGAGGAAGGGGCAGTTTTTGGGTTTCGGGGTCGAGGAGAGAGGGGTGGTGAAGGTCCATTTGATTTGGCGGTAGGACCAGAGCCAGGCTGTGCAGCGGTGGTAGTGCATGTGTCTGTGGAGGCCGCAGCTTTCGCAGAGGGCGATGGTTTCGGTACACATTGTTTCTCGGTTCGAGTTCGGGGGGTTGTGATGGCGAGAGATGGTGTGCGTGACCTGCGACTTGGTGCTTCGGTGATGTGTATTAATTGTACGGCGGGGAAAAGAGCAGGCGAGTGGTTGATTTGCGGTCTCGAGGGTATGGAAAAGGAGAAAGCAATTTCCGGTCGAAGCCTTGAAATGGTAGGAATGGGAATCGTCGAGGTGTTGTCGTCAGATGACAATAGGTGGCTGCCACGAGTTTGTCGAGGTGGAAGGTACCTTCTCTGAGAAGAGGAAGAGCAGCAGACAACGCAGGAAAGAACGATCTTGATGTTGAAGATGGAAGGAGGGCAGAGGAAGGGAAGGTGTCTATGTCTTCCATCATCTTCGTCCCTTCCTTCTTTTGAAATCACAAGAATCACATCAGAGCCGGGTCATCACGACTGACCGGCTAGTCACTTGATCTAAGATGTCGTCCAGTCTCTGAACACTTCCATCCGGAAAGAGGAGGACATCACCGTCCATTTGTACTTGAATCAAGAAGTTCAAAATTTCTTAAAATTGTTAACAAAACAAAGCCAAGCCAACTCCGCATAGAGGCCGCCCAAGCAAGGACAAATACCCGTTTCACCCTGTAAGTAAAGATGCTTTTACACTTTTGTTTATGCCTCCTCTGTCACTTATTCCCCCCCCCCCTCCCTGTATCTTTACTTAGTCCCTGTCTTTCTTGGACTTCTTCGCCTTCTTGTGCTTCTTCTCCCCAAGAGCCTCGTCGTAAATCTCGGCTGCCGTAGGGCCGGCCTTGCGCTTCGACTTGGCCGACTTCACGCTGACTACGCCAGTCTTGCCGTCCTTGACGGCCTGCTCGGCTTCGGCCCAGGCGGGGGCGTCACCGTCAACCTCATACCTGGGAGTTGTAGTCAGTAAAGTGCTCTCAAAGGTACGCATTGAAGAAATGGGTCTTACTGGTCAAGCGGTAGGGAGTCGATCAGTTCGCGCTGCTTCCTGCGAAGCTTAGCAAGAGCCTCGTCGCCTCCCTCCTCAAGCTCGTCCTCGAGAGATGTCTCGAGGGGAACAAACTTCTTGTCAACGACCTCATCGTCATGTACCCCAGAAGCGTTCTCCCGGCTGACACCAATGGTGTTATTGCTAGGCAGCTCAGCCTCAACGGCGGCGTTGACCAGGGATCCAAAATGCGTTGTGATCTTGCGAAGGATCTTGATAAACATGGCCAGCAGCTGTGATGACGGCAGGGACAGCTCAGTGGAGATGACGTCCATATCCTTCCTCTGCAGACCGATGGCGAGCAGGATGGCCTGCTGGACACCAGTCAACTTGATGTCGCCCTTGAGCTTGCCAGTGAAGTACAGGCCAGCGAGTGTGGGAACGAGATCAAGGATGACGTGGTAGTCCAGCATGTTGTTGGCGTACGACTCGAGGCGCTTCAAGTCGAATGGCGTCAGGAACCTGTCCAGCTCCACCTTTGTCAGGGCCGTGGGCTCAGTACCGTCGAGCTTGGCGCCAATGCTGGCGGACTCGTCGATGCTCAGCGCAACAACCGACTGGAACTCCCTGAATTGATACGACAGCAGCGACTGGAAACGACGCTGGAAGTCCCGGGAGAAGGCGCCGAGCCATGACCGATCGGCGCCGGTGTTCTCCAAAGGCCGGATCATGACGCACGTGTGCTCGCCCGTCAGGTCGTTGGCCGTCTGCCGCAGGTAGACAGGCGCGAAAGAGGCGCGCTTCCAGAACTTGTGGAGTGGCTGCGTCAAGCCGTAGCTGACACCGACGTAGTCCAGAGCAGCGGGCCTAATCTCGGAGAATCTCGCAAACAGCGGCGGCAGCTTCTTGATATCTCTAATGTGGACGTCGTCCGCGAGCAAAGAGGTGTTTGACAGCTCGGCGTCCGTAACTCTGGGAAGGGTCTCCTCCATGGCGAGGTCGGCGTCCTCGGAGAGGTTGGTGAACTTTTGCTCGTAAAAGTCGGTCAGGAGCTGCAGGGCCTTGGTGCCGTATCCCATGGACACGTACTCTGGGTTCGTCGCTATCCTCACGACACGGGCGCCGGAGAGGGAGACGAACTCGTCGTCCTGGTACTGCTGGCTCACGAGCCAGGGGATCAAGTCACCGGAGGGGCGCTGTCCTCTGCTCAACTGGTTGATGACGCTTTGTCTGCTAATCTTTCCTTCCAGTGCGACCTGGATCACACACAGGGGCTCGGGCAGCTTGCCGTCTGATGTCGGGGCGATGAGGACGTAGAGCTCGTGGGCCGGGGCGTCACTCATCAGCTGGAGATCATCGGGAGAGTTCTTGTAGTGACTGGCAACGTAGAGGGCGACCATCTGCTGCAGGAACTTCTCGGGGATGGGGTGGAAGGAGAAGAGGGTATCTCTGTTGACCTTGAGTAGCTCGCACTGCGAAGGGTCGGGGCACCCCTGAGCGCTGGCCTTGGCCTTGGGGAGGGTGGCATCCAGGCAGAGAAGCTTGTTTAGCCACTTCTCAACCGAGTCGCCTTGGGCGTATCTGATGGGCTCAGACAAGGTGATCTCGCGGAGAGACCGACTGGACTGGCTCGAGCCCTGATCCTTGGAGGCTCTGCCCGTCGTCCTGTCGGCAACCTCTGTGTCCTCACCAGTCTTGGCTCCAGGCCTTGACTGCTCCCTGAGCTGCTTGATCAGCTTCAGCGAGAGCGAGCGACCGGTACCCTCGTAACCGTTGATGGTGGAGGCCATGAAGACCAGGTAAGGACCCATGAGCTTGCGCACCAAAGGCAGGGGAATGGCGGCTGCCTCATCGATGACGACCAGCTCTGCCTGTCCGAGAACGTGGGCATCCTGGGGTCTGATGTACTGGATCGTCTGGCGATGCGCCCGGTGGATGTTGACTCTGACAATAGCCTTGTTGAAGTCGGGGTTCGTCGATTGGATGATGGAGTAGTCGGCGTGATCGGCGTACCCGAGCGCATCGAAACCCTTGAAGACAAACTCGAACAGCGTCTTCAAATTCTCCGGGGACGGCGAGGTGATGAAGATATTGCTGTAACCGTGCGCGACAGCAGCCGCAACGGCGACACCCATGGCCGCCGACTTTCCGCGACCTCTTGCGGCCGTCAACGTGACGGTGCTCCGCAGGGTCTTCTCGGCAATGGCGTCGACAAACGTCAGCAGCGCCTTGGCCTGATCAGTCGTCTTGGCGAGGGTAACCAGGGAGCCGACTGGTTGGGTATCTTGCAACGACTCCTTCATGTCCTCGAGCTCCTGCTCTGCCTCGGTCTTGTTGAGGTCCTTGTCGGTGGGCGGGAGCTTCACGACGCCCTTGCCGCCCGAGATGGGCAGGACGTTCATCTCGTCGTCGATGACGAGGCACGAGTCGCAGCCGCCCAGGGAGAGGATGAAGCGCTCGTTGAAGCGGGCGACGACGTCGTCGTGCGCCTCGGTGCGGTAGCGCGAGTGGATGTCCATGGACATTGTGTAGAGCTGCTTGAGCGAGGACATGCCCTTGAGCAGGAGGACCACCAGGCCGCCGCCCTCGACCGTCTCGATCGTCCTCGCGAGGATGTTTGGCGTCATGGCCTCAAAGTCTTGCAGGATGCACATGCCGAACGTCTGTCCGAGGACCTTTTCCGTCTCCTTGTAGTAGACGTAGCGGATGTTGTGGAGGGACACGAAGAGCTCGAAGGGGTCGGAGTCGTTGGCTTCGCGGGTGCCGCGCTTGATTTCCTTCTTGATCTTGTTCTCGCGCTTCTTTCGGTGACTGGATTTCGAGGAAGAGGTTGGCATGTTAGCTTCTCCGTGTCTGCTGTGTAAGTGAGCCCTGCTCGAGCCGGAAGACGCACCTCGTGAAGCCCAAGAGCTTGGTCTTGTACGCCCACAACACAGACTTGTTCTGCTTGATGTTTCTAGCCATCAAGTAGTGGAGGTTGACAATGACATCCTTGGAGTGGTCACCGACCACCACGAAGAAGCTGCGCTTCTTCTCTTGGTACCCATTGCTAATGAGACTCGGGATCCGCTGGTCTCTGTATTGGATTAAAGTCAGCAATTAAATACATGTAGGGGTTCATATCATAACGAGAACTCACACTGCCTTGCGCGACATCTTGAACAGAGCTCGCAGGGGAGGAGGGACGAGGGGGAGTGAAGGCGGAAAATTGGCAGAAGGCGGGCTTGCTGAGAAGTCGGGTCGGCGCAAACCAGCTCTTAGACGTCGAGGAAATTCCCAAAAATTTGGCGGAGAGAACATTTTCTGCCGGGCGGTGGGCTTTCGAGGTGGGTGCGTCTTGGTGGGGTGCCGCAACTTTTTCGTTATGGCCACGCCCGTGGCGGAACGCCACACCCCCCTCGGACGATCTCTAAAAATCAAAGGCCTGCCAGTCACTCAGAAAATGGTTTGGTGTATGAATACTGTAGAATAGGTATGGTAAGACGATTTTCAAGGGGGCTGTAAAGGCCTTGAGTTATTTCCGTTTGATGGAACTAGTAATACACTTTTTTGTTGTACATGATATCGCTCTGTCTGTCTTTTCCTCCTTCTTATTTCTAGCGTCCCTGATTCTTGCATCTCTCTCGCTCTCAGTAGGTATCGCGGCACGGTCATGAGTGATTGCTCTGGATGCAAACAGTTGGATGATTGCTATCTGATGCAAAGCTATCCCCTCTCTTCTCTATATGAAGCCCGAGAAATGTGTGCACAGTCGCGAAAAGGAGATGAAATACCATCAGCGATGAATGCCCCGGCCGAGAACACCAATTATGAGGAGAAAAAAAACACCCGCGTCTTTCCCAGATATGCTCGAGTGGGAGAAGCCGAGTCCAAAGGGGAAAAAAACACAAGGATGTGAGAAAATAAGAGACCGACGGGGCTTTGTTTGTTTTATATACAAACCAAACAACCGACCCCCCCAAATCCGAGCTTAGATTCTGTCCAGCTTGCGGCGCAGGTTGCGCGTGCGCTTCATCAACTTCTTGTACTTCTTCTTCTTCATCTTGAGCTTGCGTTGGCGCTTGACGCTGAGGGCGTGCATGGTATCGTGGCCTTGCGCCTCGTCAAACTTCATCTGGCGCAGGGCCATGCGCTCGAGGAACGAGCGGGGCGCGTCGCCGCCGTCCTGCATGATCTTGGGGCTGTGGGCGAGGACCTGAACCTGGCCGTCGGCGTCGGTCGTCTCCTCGATGGTGAACATGGCCTTGTAGACGCGGTGGTGGGGGGTCTCGTCGAGTAGGTCCTCGACGGCGGACTCGGCGGCGGCGGCGTGGGATGTCGCGGCGTCGGCAGTCTCGCCCATGGCCTCGGGGGCCGGAGGAGGGCGGAAGGGAACGAACTGGCCGGCCATGCTGTTGAGCTGGACGTAGACGCTCGACTCGGTGCCGTCGGGGTTCTTGAAGTCGATCTTTTGGACGGGCTCGCCTGACGCATCCGTCTCCTGGTGGCCGATGGTCATCTTGGCCATGGCGCCCTCGAGGTCGTCGGTCGTCCGCGATAGTGTTGAGATGACATCGGTGACCTTGTTCGCCCTGCTCCGGGGCTTGAAGATGGCGGCGAAGGCTTCTTCCGTCACTGACTTGGGCATGCTGTGGGTCACAGATATCGGCCGGTGCAGCGAGAAAAAGGTTGACAAGCCGAGAGCTGCGCATGGTTCAGTTAGCATTTCTTCCACAAGATCCAGACTCCGCACGACTGCACACCTTCTTGGGAAACATGTTGTGTGCTGGGCACGCTGGGCAGCTTCTGCGCAGCCTCCCTATCGGCGCTGTCCTTGGTCTTTCGTTTCCGCTTCTCGCCGTTGGCCTTGCCGCTGCTGCTGGAGCTCGATGATGTCGAGGCATGGACGGACTGGCCCTGGGCAGGAATGTCCTTGGATCCGTTGTTATTCGGGTTCGAGGGGCTCGAGGAGGACCATCGTCTCTGGTGGCCACCGACGGGTCTCTGCTGAAGGGTGATGGTGGCCGTAGCCGCTCTCGGAGCGGAGGTGGTGAGGGAGGCGACGAGAGGGGACTGCGGCGCCGAAGCGACCACGCGCCGCACCGATGAGGGCAGCATTGTCGCCGGGTGCAGACCTTTGGGGGTATTGATCTGGACGGGTTCGAGAAGGAGGAGGAGGGGTGGTTTTGGAGGTGGTTGAGGCTGACGCAGATGTTGCCGACAGAGTCGGTTGATGGTTGGCAAACCCGGATTTGGCCGCAGGACGGGAAAAGCTCACGGGTTCCACTGACACCTTGTTACTTAGGCATCCGATTGTGCACAGACCACTGACACTCCTTCCCCAGAGCTTTCGAGGTGGAAGACGGAAACTTGAGATGAAACAACCTTTCAGTGCAGGAAGTGTCAGTTGGCTTATTGTTATTCTTTTTTGAGAAATGACGTTGCTTGAGGCCTCAGCGTGATATAACGCCGGTAGCGCCTCTTAATTATCATCGAGATGGGATTCCAGTCTGATTCACTCCGCCCCGTCACGGGAACACATAGCTAAGCGCCCACCACACATGACCGCGGGCAGAGTCCGGGCAGACTCACCCAATTCACCGCCCAGGTTGTTGTTACACACCGCTCGACTGGTCCAGAACAAAACCACCCCAAGACTTCTTGTCCTTGGAAGTAAACTCGCGCATGCATTTGTTTGTCTTTAGTAAGAAGATCCATAACGGCCTTATCTCACTACCCCTCGAGTGAATATCCCACTTCCCCCGCTTCCTGGCCCAGCTTAACCAGCATTCTCCGCATGTTCTCAGCCCTCGCCCTCTCCTTCTCATCCAACACGCCCAAATCAACCTTATCCACCCAGCCCTTGAGCCCATGTTGCAATACATTGCGGGCTCGGAGGGTGCTCCCGTTGACATGTCCCGCGCTCCCATGCAGTGTCATGCGTTCTTTATTCGCGACGTATGCGCCGCGGTGAAGGATATTGTTGTTGTAAAAGACAATGTCGCCTGCCTTGAGTTTCACGTATAGTTGCTCAGGGATCTCCTTCTCATAAGGATCAGCGTTGCGCTCAATGTCTGTCCTGGCTCTGGTATGCGAGCCTGGGACGACGATGAGACTGTTGTCATCGTAGAGAGCCAGGTTCCACTGCGCCGAATAAGCCGGCTTATTGAGCCGATCGAGCTCCTCTTCGGCGGTAGCAGTAGCGGGGATATCATCTCTATGCCACCGCAGCTCAAAGTCCTCATCAGGCCGTATGAGCAAATTGAACAGCTCCATGACAAGATCGTCATCGGTGCACTGCAGCAGCTGTTTCGTCGGCTCAACCACGGCATCCGAAAAGTACGTCTTGATGAATGCGGCGTTATTGGGCATGTCGGGGTGCATCATCCCCTGGACGCCCCAGATGCCCTCCGGGGGCGCTTCCGGGGTGGCGACCGGCCACGGCGGGAACTGCTTGGGCAGCGTCCGCACGTTTGGCCATTTTCCGGCGCGGGCCAGTGCTGTAGCGTTTTGAGTGGCACTTCGGAGGTCTTTGAGTTGGTCTTCGGTGAGGATTGAAGGGATGACGACGAAGCCGTCTCGGTTGAGGCGATCAAGCAGGCCGGAGGCGGTCATCTTTGCGTGAGTGTCTTTGATCGAGTGCCTTCGAGCTAGAGGGAATTGCTTCGAATACCTTGTCTCAAGAAGACTTTTATCTCAATTTTGTCACTTTACGACAACACTTTCAGGTGCTTTTCAGCCGTTCGGCGCCAGATTGACTTGCAACGTTGCAGCGGCCGACTCCGTCGCCGAAGGATCCCGGTTAAGGGTGGGGAGAATGAGGGGACGGCAGTAGCTCAGTTATCTATTGCTGCGAGTGGTGCGATGCCAGATAGCAAACGCGGAACTATGAGCTAAGCGTTTCCACTTGGCTGTCATGCAATGACGATCCAGTCAGATATATGGTTGCCGACACATATGAGTACTAAGAAGAGATGAACGAATATAAATTACAGCGTAGGAAACTTGAGGCTCCTCATCTTCCCCGCATCCATCGCTCATTGGCAGGGCTGAGCTTGTGGCCGTCTTTGAACCACGGCAATACCTCTGTTATTGTTCAATGTTAATACGTCACACTTTGTTTCCCAATGTGACTGTTCTACTGTATACCTTGGTCGATCTGAACCAGCAGGAACATTCGCTTCTTAACGGGCAACAATTGCAGGCCTATCATCATGCTTTGAAGCAACTCTTCACGTTGAGATAGAATAAGAATGATGCAGTATGTTCCCATTGATCCTGCCTATGACCGTTTTTTGATCACTTCAATCTCGTCTATCCTGCTTCTAATGCTCGAAATCTGAAGCCACAAATCGCTATACGACGCTGGAATCACAGCGAATTCTCAGTTCTCTCGAGCCATCCTCTAGACTGCTTCCCTCAATTGGCGGTGACCACCTCAAGCTCATCTTACTACCCAGTCCCCAATAGCCATCTATTGGCTGTTCAAGAAACTGAGGTACGAGTTCCAGCCAATGCTGATGACGTTGACAAAGAGCACACGGTGGTGAAGCGGCACGAACTTGAAGTTCACTACCTGGACGAACGGCCAGAGCATGTAGTTGGACGTGAGCGCAGTCTTATAGTTCTTGTCGAGCTTCTCCTTGATAGAGCCGCCCTCGAGCGTGGCCATGGAGGACAGGAAGACGCTGATCATAACAGGGGCAAAGACACCCTGGTCAACGGCGACACGGGCGAGCATCTCGGCGTTTTTGTTCTTGAGGACAATGTTGTTCTGCAGAAACTTGAACCAGGTTGTGGCAACGGGGCCGAAGATGACTTGAAGCATTTCGTTAGTGAGGTTGAACTCATCGGCCACAGCTCAGGTCGGCCATGAAGGCGTCGTCGCGTGTGAGTTCTCTGAGTGCAGGTGAGGTGAGGTGGAGCTTACCACCGCCGTAGAGGGCCATGCGGCCTGTGCGGGCCCATTCGTGCTTCTCGAGGCCGCGCTTATCGACGAGCTGCTGGGCGGTGATGTCACCGGTTGCAAAGAGGATGGCGGTGGTGATGCTCTGGGTGAGCAGCGGGCGAGCCGCAAGTCTTGCCTGATACCTAGAGATGAAGTTTTTAGCGATACAATGCTTGAGACATCAAGAAATTTTGTTGGCAAAGCTCACCAGCCGAGCATTGTGGATGTCTTCTGTCAGAGGGATAGAGAGAAGCTGAGGTAGAGGAGTCTGGTGGCCTGGATCCGCAATTTCAATCCAGGGGCAAAGGGGGGGAAAATGAGCGGAATTGGATGATGAATGGCCAGTACGGGTCGGTGGGTATCGAGAAAGGAGGGAAGAAACGTGAGCGAGCGGATGGTGTTGTGAGTTTGTTGTATGAGACAATGTGAGGAGCGAGAAGTCGATTCCAAGATTTGGCAGTACCTTAGCTCAGGGAAGGTACCTGAGGTGAGGTACCCAGCAAGGAAGGTGCGATCGTCAGGCCGACAAGCTGCACGTGACGCTAAATTGTCTCCAAATTTGGCCTTATTAGACTGGTCGAACGCAGAAAAAAGTCAAGAAAATCTAGAAAATAGCTTGAAAAAGCAATGACCACGGCTATAGAAAGGTAACAGAGCTCAACCTGGTCTTAGCCAACAAATTGAGAAACACTATCCTCAAATGGTTCGGAAGCTTAGGATTTAGGGGCTCCGAGTAGCGAAACATTTCCCCAAATTACATAATGAGCACGGCGTTTCCAGATGTAGCATTCCGCCTCCAGCAGCTAAGTGAGTTAATGCAATTAATGAGGCCACAGTCCGTTATACGGCGGTTGTTTGCCTAGACCCCTCGATGTCTAGCTTACCTCACTCGTAGTAGTCTGGATTGAAGGAAATCGGGACTGATCGTGTAAAAAGTCACAAAGACCGTCGTTTTCGGCGCCAGATGAACCCATTAGCCGTGTGCAGAGTCTTTGTAGGCCAACATCGACTGGTACACCATAATTTAGGTCTTGCAATGCTCAACCTTCGAAGCTCTGGAACCAGGCACATCGTTGGTTGTCTGGCTAGCCAGATTTTAAGAGGGAAAAGCAATATATGAGCACTGAGAAACACTCAAAGTTCTATGAACCGCGATGGAAGTAGAAGGGAACTGCTGCGTGTCTGAACAGTTAGGTCATTGAATCTTGAATCGAGTGGCAGCTCAGATGGGCGGCTGAGTTCTGCGATACTCGGTCCAAATTAACGGTGTAGGCTCTTCTTTCTCCCAGGCTTGCCACCTATCCCACTCCTCGCGATCATACTCCACTGGACTCCAAGACTCATCAACCCAGGCACCAGGAACCTTGCCGACCACATCTTGGACCATGGTCCAGAACTCTCCGGCGTAATCTTCATAATCATCCGACCACCAAAGACTCCAATGATTTGGGCAAGAACCATAAGTAATACCGATAAGAGAAAGTCGAGTTGTACCAATAGTATCTCCATGCCAAGGAGCCCAACGCTGCCAGACACTTGTAAGCCCTCGCTTGTACATACGGCTTTCCTCACGTCCGTAGTCCAGGAGCTCCACGTCGCTAGAAGAAATTATAGAAATCCATTCTGCAAGTGCTGCCATAAGTGATTCTAATACTTGTCTAGCCGTACTAAGATCCGAGGGCCTGGAGTCAACTATCGAATTGATGATGCTGCACAGGGGTGAGCTCATTGCTCCATTGCCCGACCAGTTCAAAGTCGAATCTATGTGGTATAGACTCTGACGGTCTAGTTTGATGCCGTCACGGAGTAGCTTGACCCATGACTGTCTTGTTTCGGCCCACTGATCAGGGTTAGGGTGGCGGTTCCTTGCTACGAAGTTGCTAGCCATCCCAATGGCACATGAATGAAAGAGGGCAAGCCCATTCATGCTTCGGGATGATACGAGTGTAGATGCCCATGTGTCATCGTTCTTGGTTTCAGTAAGGATAAAACAAACTTCATGCGTCTCCCAGCTACATGTAGCTACGACGAACCTGAGATGCTGAAGCCTTTGTGCAAGCGGGAACGACTCGTATTTAATCGAGTAACGTTTCAGTATCATTTGAAATGAATGATACCCGATGCCGTAACTGAATAGCCAAAATATTCGTGCCGGATCGTCAAGGTAGTCATCAAGGAAAACTTCCAGGAATAGTTTCTGAAATGTCGGTTCCAGATCGTACCGGCGTGGTGATATGGTCATGCTCCCAAGCTCGTATAGGAGGAAGGCAACTCTGTACTCCTTTAGACAGACCCACTCCATCTTGCATCTGACTTACGAAGCTTGGCTGCTCAACTGGTCTCGTAGAAGATAGGCAAACCCTCTCTCAAGCAGAGCTTTCACTACGTCGAGGGACCTGTATTCGACAGCGAACTTAAGGCAATTCGGCCCAGTCAGCTATAAAACACCAACTATTCTAAATGAGCAGACTTACCTCAAACAAGCTTTTGCCACAGCTGTTCCGTACAAAGGGAGTCATGTTATGCTGCGATAACACTCGAAACATCCCGGAAGGGTCGTCAATGCCAATGCATTCCAATAACTCATTGCTGAAGTATTTGACTACCTCATAAGCTCTGAGATTAAATTGCCACCCCTGATAGCTTTTCTGGGCCATGACTGAATAGACAGATCCTGTGAGCCAGCTGGGCGCCTGAATGGAGAATTGGAAGTTGTCATTCTTCCCAAAAACAAATCGAAAGGTAGGAACTACCGAAGCTGGGCTACATATGTAGAAGAGTACTGGTGGAGTGGAAACTGGCGCATTGTTGATCTTTTCCGCCTGCATCGCGTTCGAGGCAGTGCCTCCACCTGACCACTCTTCGGTGCTCAGCGAAGTCCGAAACGCCGACATTGCCCTAGATTAAATATGGTTTCAGAATCGTTCTTGACACAGGGACAGCACAGGCAGCACTTACATGATCCACTGCATCTGTGCAATGGAAAACAGATAGAGTGCCGCTTCAAGCTTCCTGTCCAGAGCCTTTAACTCATCTTTCCGGAACACCACCTTGGATGATGAAAGTAACTTGATTCTAAAGCCATGTTTCCGAGAAATTAACTTGGTTTGCAGATCGTCAACCATGTCTTGAACGTCGTCAAGTGCGCGGCGGACCTTTTCGATATGCTGTCGCAAGCGGTGATTTGTGTTCCAGAAGGCTTGTGGTAGCGGACTGTTCTTAATGTAGTCTTCGGCATCAAGGAGGAAGTCTTCTAAGTCTTTGATTCGTTCTGCCTTCTCCAAAAGCATCTGTGGTACTTCCTTGACTTCAGCCCATAGTTTCATGAGCTTGAAGGTGGCGCTTCCGACCTTTGTGGTGATGTCAACCACGGCAATGACGCTGGCAGCCAGGCCTAGAGCTTCCGCCATGGCGACAGGCTGATAGCTCGGGCAAGGGTCCAATAGTTTGAGTATTGGGCTCTCTTGCTAACGAAGACCATGCGAGAGAGGAGACGATGAGTTTGAGGGATAAAATAAGAAGAAGACGGTTGAAGAGTGCCTATTTCGGGTTTTTGTCTAGCTCAGGAACATAGATCCTAAGAGAGAAGGGAGAGGGTCGTTTCCACAAGAGGGGAAGGACAGAGCCGAGAGCCTTATGAATCACAGTGTCTTGAGATAAGGCTGGATTCATTGGTTTAGCGTGGTGTGCCAAGCACATGGGTGCGTCCAGACACTCCATATTTGATTCGATCGCTTCGCCCTGGTCGCACCGGCATTGGGCAGACATAAGGCAACTCTTTGATGTGGCTGAGCCTCACGTCTTTTAGAGGCAGATTTCTGAGTAAGCCAGGGTAGTTCGCTTCCCCTCCGTTAAGACCTTGTCTGCTCCACGCGCCTGTGTTGTCCTTGAGTCCTTTGCTCCGTATTCACCTCGTATTATATAAGGTATCTCAACAGGTGCCTAAGAATATGAAAATAAATAATAAGAGGTACTAAATAATGTGAGAGGAGGGGAATTTACACCATGATCGTATGGCCGAGAAGTTCAGATCATTCGCTCTTAGTGTTGTTCCAAGCACTGCGAATGTGATCCCAGTGGTCGATCTCGAGGCGGAACTAATGCCTCAGTAAATTACTTCCATCTTCTCCCTGCTAGAATAGAACGTTTGTATGATTACTTAGAACTGATTAGTAGGCGCCATTCTCTACAACTAATAGTGGTGTTAATTCCCTTGCGTGGTCAGAGGTTTGGTCTTGCGTTGCGAGAAGGTCATTGACTTCAGTAACGTAACTATTGCATGTCGTGAGGCCATAAAATTGAAGCTTGAGTGAATGCCTCAAGAAGCTGAGGTAGAGTGACAAATGACGCTTCCAAGAACAATATGCTTTTATGTAGGTGGCCTGGTCTTGCGATATTCAGACCAAATCAACGGGCGGTTCTCTTTAAGCACCCACGATGGCAAAAGCTTGTGGTCGTCAAAAACTCTTTCATCCACCCAGCTACCTGGAATCTGGGTGGCAGAATCCTCAAGCATTTTCCAAAAATCACCCGCATAACACTCATATTCAACCGCCCACCATATCTTCCAATGTTTCGGCAAGGAACCGTAAGTGATGCCGACGTATTCAGCTCGATAATATCGTCCACGTTTCTGATGACGCTTACGTGGCTCAGAGAGATCTTGAACCATCCGAAACGACCAACCAGGGAGCACAAAGCGCCTTCGCACGCTGTATGTCATTTGCGACTGACGCCCATGATTTATAAGATCCACCTTGTTGCGGTATAGTGTCGTCACCCAGACAAGTAAAGCCGATTGTATGATTTTGTCCGCCTGATCTGCTGAGCAAGGCTGCATGTTGGTAAGCATATACCACATGAACATGTGCATCGGACTCGTTTTCCACTGGTCTTTGGTAGCTTTAATGAGACTGTCAGGATCAAGTGCAATAATTTGGTCGGCTAGTCGCGCATATTCAGTGACGGATTCCGACTGGGCGGGATCGCCACGGGGTGCTCGAGCAGACGAAGCCCCGATTCCCACTGCTGCCAAGGTCATCACAACTGGGTCATGTCTTCCGAGTCGCCATGAAATCAGGAGCTCTCTAGTGAGGCTTCGGAGTTCCGGAACCACGGAAGATGTTTGTTTCAAGGTCCAGACAGAGCCCCGGATTCCAGAATATGCAAATGAGACTCTGGAGTTAAGAGAGAACCATTTTGGATCCGACACTCGAGACTTGGAATGAAGCAGTCTCGTAAAATTATCAAAGTTTGCGAGGCCTGCTATGAAGACCATGAGGTGAACTGAGATACTAGCGTCTCCATCTAGCGCGTGTAAGGCGAAAAGGAGAGTTAAGTCGGATGGAGAATCTGAGCGGGCAGTTGGAGGATGCATCCACTGATTGGCAGCGTCGAAAAGGAGTTGACTTGAATCCGGGTACCTGTAATAAATCAGCACTGAAGTGTCGATGAAACGACAGACTTTGAGGATGATGAACCTCAGCGTTGGGTCACCGCTATAGATATCAGCGCACAGCCCAAAGGTGAGAAGCCATTTCGCAACGTTGACCCATCGGTTTTGGGCGCAAAGCTTCATTCAGATCAGTGTCAAATGCCTCTCTCTCTTCAATCTGGTATTTGGGTTCACGTACGGATATTAAGTTTTCTCCGCGCTCGTTTTGAACAAAGGGCGTTAGCGATCTTGATCGCAAATGTTGCATGAGAGCCTGTGGATCATCGGACTTCACCGCGTCTTCAAAGCTGGAGAAGTTCTCGATCACTACATAAGTTCTAAGATTGATTTGCCACCCAAGTATGCTCTTGTGGCACATGGCGGAATAAACCTTGCTGCCGAGCCAACTGGGTGATCTGAGTGAAATCTGGAAGACGTCGTCTCCAAACCCAAGACGAAACCTTCCAATAGCGGTTGTGCCTTGAGCCATATCAAGGTTGTCCTTGCCAGCTATGTTGGCAACAGCTGGTTTATGTTGGTGAAAGAATTCTGCCACCTCGACTTTTTGGGATGATTTCTCTGTGACTTCCGAAGGACTCAAACAATTCGGGAGCCGTTCCAATATGATGGCCGTGGAAAGCATAGTCAATTTTCTGCTCACCTCAGATCAGCCGAGCTCTAGAAAGAATCCAGTACCGAAACATCCAGTATTCAACTCACGTGCAATAGATTCCTTGAGCCACCTTGAAAAGTTCCAAAGCTCGATCGAGCTTTCGTTCCATGTCTTCTATTGTATCTTTCTGCAAGACAAATTTTGCAGCAGTCAATTTGCGTCGATGCTTCCGCGGATCAGACATCTGAAGACTGAGGTCATCGATGGTGTTCTGTATATCTGCCAATGCGGCGCGGGCTCGCCGGAGCGACTTCTGCATAATCTCATCGTCGACGACCGACTTAGATACAGGACTGCTCGCAGTCTGAGTTTCGGCATCTTTGAGATAGTCGTCTAAATCTTGAAGTTCTTCAGCCTTTTCGAGAAGAGCGGCTGGGACGTTCTTGACTTCGCACCAGAGCGATTTGATTTTGAGAGTCAGACCTATGGCCTTGCCTGTGACTTCGGCAACGGCGATAACGCTTGTCGCGAGACCAATCGCTTCGGCCATCTTGTGTTGGTATAAACTGAATATGAGTGACGCAGGCGCCTTGGGCGCAAAAGTAAGTAGGGCTCTGTCTACTGGTTGCTTCACGAGATCGAATAGCAAACGTCCGTCACTTATGTTGGAAACTTTGCAGGTTTAAGCCGCTTTCTAGGAGTTTCTCGGAAGAGGGGAAAGAACGGATCTCTGCGGCAAAGGTTGTTGCGATAGGCTGCTGCCGTCGTCTGTTGGTTCAGAACGTCGTATGCAGGCGGCTGCACCTAGCCACGCGCCTTGGCCGGGTTTTCTGGCCTTTCACTGGATATCATTGGACTGAACGACTTCGTTTCCACCTGAATAATAAAGTGATTGGTTATCTGAGAACCTTCGTGCTGATCGATTTGGATCACGCTGCCAAAGTGCCACTCTTATGTGGCATCCCCTGAAGAGTCGCGGTCCATATCATGCATGGTGCTCTAGACGCAGTACGTAGCATCGTCAATTGCTCGTGCGGCTGAGTATGAGCTGATTATTGAGTGAATGCGCAGGTTGAAATTGAATTGTGATGCACGATGTCCTATGATATCTCCTGAACGATAAAATACCCCAACGCCAACACCAGAGAATCATGTCACAGCAAGCCAGAAACGCCTTTTACCAGAACCATACACGGCTGACTGCCATGGCGTGGCATGCCGTTGACGTGTAGAACCCAATGCGCCACCGAAAAGAATGATGCCCAGAAGCGGCCAGGCTAGGATACTTAGAAAATAGACATCGAAGAGGATGGCCATCCAGAGCCGTTTCGTGCCGCCCCCGCTGCAACTCCAACACACCTCAAGCATCGCCGCTGCTCGCCGAGGTTTGTAACGGAGCAATGCGAGCACACGTGCCTACTGCACGCACCGCAAGAGTGATCAACACCGTAGCTGTAACCATCGTCGATATCCATCCCGTCCGCAGCGCCATCCGACGCACCAAGACCAGCGCCGCAGTCGTCGCAGCTCATTGGCGACAGCGCACTCTGGTCCACAGACGGGGCCAAGGCGGGGCACCTGGGCTCGGCCGATTTGATATTCCAGAAGCTGTGAAGGGACTTCTGGGAGTTGCGGGCGGCAGGAACGGGTGTGGGTTCGGACTGATTCGTCTCGTGGCCTGCGTCGGCTGAGTACTGGTTGTGTTGCTGTGCGGAGTAAAGCATGTTCAGAGTACGTTCTGAGGTATGCTGTCAACTATGTTGCCCTTCTTGATTGACGCCATGGACCAGACTTACGATGGATTTGCTCCTCCGAGGGCCTGTTGTCGCGGAAGCGCTTCATTGTGCGACTCGAGAGGTGCGATGGCGTCGCATGTGCGCGAGGATAGATGGGGCTTGGAGAGATTGGTGACTCGAAGGACTCGATGCTGGATTCGGAGCGAGCTGGCGAGGGGAAGAGGGTGACGAGTTCGGATTCGGAGCGCTTGCGCTTGTGAGCCATCTTTGTCTGAAGATCCAGGTAGAACTCTTGGAAAATAAAAGGCAGTAATTTCGGTGCTGCCTGAGATATTTGGGGCAGAATGATCGAATTGACGATGTTGTATTTGTATCAGAGTCGGGAAAGGATGGTACAGGCCGACGGGGATCAGATCGAATGGAATATCTCCATTTGCCTGTGACAAGTTGAGTATGCGAGATGGAATGATGCTAGGGAGTGCCGGGCGCGACGCGTCTTTTGATGGTCGAGGCGCGTTATGTACGTGATAGCCCCGCTGGACTTTAAGTGGTCTGGGCTTACCTAGGGACCTCAAGAGCGATAAGGCAGTGGACTTAGCAGTGACGCATATATGATTTTAGCAAACACGATAGCAACTTTACTTCTCAGACGCTTCCTAAACTATATTAGAGTAGCAAACGTATTTAGGAGGTTAGATGCTTAATAGAAGTAGATTACTAACTAACGTGATGTATAGATGCTTTTATCCTAACGGAAGCTTTGTTTACTTGCTGTTAGGGATGTTCGCTCCGTCCCGCGCGTGCACGCGCTACGTCCGGCCTTAAGCCTAGTTAGCGGTCCCGATCCGCTAGTTTTAAATAGTAGCTAGAAAATAAATACAACTAGTGCCGAAATAATACTATATCCTATAGGTATATTACCGATTAGAAACTACTATTATTAAAAATCTATATAAGCTTAATTATCTATTACTCTACTTTTACCTTATCTTATCCTAATATTACGACCTAATATATATAACTAAAACTAAGGCCCGCCCCGCAGTCTTATAGCGGCTATAGTATATTATATATATAAAAATACGGGAATATAAAGTAACTCTTATAGAATAAAAGAACTATAAAATAAGTTATATAGTAATAAGAAATAAGAAAGTCCGTATATTAAAAATACGTACTCCGTCTTTTTAAAATATAGAGCCTATATATTTAAAATACGGGGCCCGTTAAAGTAATATATAAATAAAGAATATATTTAAAAACGAGACTTATATATAGGATAGATTTAAGCCGGGCTTAAAAATAAACTTTTTATAGCTTTTTTAATAATTAACTTAGTATTAAATTTTATAATCGCTTTTAGCTATTTTTATTAAAAAAACTTTTTAATAAGACTATAATTAATTACTAAAGCCTTACTTATTTTACGACTTATAAATATAGCTTTAGGGAAGCTATTTATAATTATAATACTATTTACTTAGTATTTATAGCCTTAACTTTTACTAATATACTTATTATAACTAGCTAGCTATAATATTTTAATTACTCTTATTTAATAAATTAACTTTACGAGACTTACTAAGTAATAAAACGAATAACGATATTTTTTAAAACCTTAAGTACCCCCTTATTTAATTTTAAATAACTTATTAATTTAATTAGCGAGCTAGTTAGGGTCGAGGACGACGAAATACTTAATATTATTTATAACTTTAATAATAACGCGGTTTTTAAAAAAGTAAATTATAAAAAAATACGATATATTATTAAAAAAAGTAATAAGTAGAATAAGGAATTTATAAAGCTTTTTAATAATAACTCTACTTAGATAGCTATAACTCTAATTAAAAATAATAAAAATATTACTACTTTTTAAAATATAGTTAATAAGGCTATAACTAACTTAGGAATTAAAAAAAGAGAAGTAAATAACTTAAAGTAAAAAATTAGAACCCTCCGAGCTACTATTAATATTATTAAAACCCCTATAGATAGATAAGAAAAACTTAAGCTTAACGTACTTACTATTTTTAATAGAATTATTAGACGTTTTAAAAGATTTTTAATTTAAATTAGAACTTATTAAATATTTTATATTACTAATTTCTATAATAAGACTAAACGAGTTATTAATATAATAACTTTTTTTAGAAAACGAGCCTTAGAATAATTCGAACCTTTTTAAAAAGAATTCTTTAGTAATAATAGCTATTTACCTTATTATAAAAAGGAAACCGTAAATATTTTTAATAATATAATAGGATTTTAAAGTACCCTTAAATCCCTATTTTAAAACCCTAATAAAAAATAATAAGCTAAAAGAGACCTAGCTAATTTTTAATAAACTAAGTTTACCTCGTACTATACTACTAAGTTTAGAAAACTTATAATACGACTTAATTTTACTAAAAAACTCGTATTTTTTTATTTTATTAAGGATTAAAAAATAAAGTTAAGAATAAACTTAGTAAAATAGAAATATTAATAAAATTTTTATAATACGTCGAGTTTATTATTAAGATCGATATTTAATTATATAAACGACGTAAAAAAAAGAGGGAAGTACGATACCCTTAAGCTAATTTTAATAAAAAATATTAGAACTATAGTAAACTACTAAGTAATTATTAAAATAACTTAAGAAACTAATAGTAATGAAGTACGTTTTATAAATAATACGGAGGACCTATAAACCTTTATATTATTAAATACGAAAAACCGTAATAAAAGAAAGATTTTAAATACTATAACTATAATAAGCTAAAATATATAGCTAGAGATTATTAATAACCTAAGTGTATTTAATACTAACTTATTTTAAAAAAACGAGTTAATATTATAAATAAAAAAGCCCCTTATAAATAACTTTTATAAATAGCCTATTACGATAATAGCTACCTTACTTACTAAGATAGTAAAGAATAAATAGGATAATACTTAAAATAACTTAAGAATATAAAATAATCTAAATATAATATTATACTATTTATTAAAACGCTAGTAATAATAATAAAAAAAGAAAAAATACCCGCTTACTAACCCTATATTTTTTAAAAAAAAAATATTAAGTATATTATTATACTTTCTTAGACTTATAAAAATATAAAAAAAAAAGCTAAGACGGACCCTATTATAAAAGATATATTTTACTTTTTTAAAAAACGAATTAAATAAAAACTCTTAGCTAGTATAAGGGAGTAACTTTTTAAATTTAAAAAAAGAGGACTTAATATAAAAAAAATTATAAATAGCCTTATTTATATAGTATAATAAAACTATATAAATTAAAAATAATTTACTAAGTTTAAAAAAGAACTTAATTCGGACTAAATCCTAATTAAATTTATTTATATAATACGACGGGTAGATACTAATAGAAAATTTATTTATAAGGTTAAAGAATAGTTCGAAGAACTTTTATATAAAAATAAGATCGAAGTAATTAAGAGACCGATTCTTAATTTCGGAGTTATAAAAAAAAGAAAAATTAATTTTAATTTAAAAAAAAAAGAAGATATTAAAATAAGAACTAGTTTTTTTTATTTTAATAAAATAGAATTATTTTATAATTTAGATAAACTTCGTAACGTTACTTAACGACGTATTTAAATAGAGATTAATTATAGGGTACTACTTAGCGTTAATAATACTAGTTTTAAAAAGGACAATAACGAATTATAATATAAATATATTTATTTATTTAAGGATAACTAAACTATTTAGTTTTATAAAATTAGAGAATATAAGAAGGTCGTAATAACCCCCTATATAAATAAAGACTACTCTCTATTTAACTTTAAAAATCCCTTTTATAAAGAATTATTTTAAGTAAAATATCTAAATAATAAATACTTTTAATACCTCGTATATAAATAAGATAGCTATTTTTATTCGTAAAGATATAATAATAAACTTATTAAGAATATTTATATAGAAGACTAGCTACTTAGTTAGATATTACTAAGTTTTAATAATAGTAATAGAGTAATATTTAACCTAAATCCTAGTTTTTTTATAAAGTGCCTTAATAACGAGTATATAAAATAGAAAGACTATAGATATAACTAATATTAAATTTATTATATTAAAAAGGCTAAGGTATAGAGAGAGTACTAAGAGAGATATAAATAAAAGAACTACTTAAAGAAATAAATAATAAAAAACTAAGAAAGCTAATTATAAAAGAACGACGAAAAATAAAAATAGAAGAAAAGTTCTTATATATAACTAGATAATATAATAACGTATATTTACGAGTTAACTTTAATATTTATAAATAAGGACTAAATATTATTATCAATAGTAATATATAAAAAACTTATATTTTACTAAGAATAGTAAATAAACTTAACTTATTATAAGTATAAAAGGATAACTTATATTAATTATAAACAGTAAAAAGAGAACGAGTTAATTATAACTATAAATATATTAATCGAGAGACCGTATACTTCTTAATATATATTAATAATTAGTAAAAATAACTATAATATAATATTATAAAAATTAGAGATATTAATATTATTTTAAAGATCTCGTAATTATAAAAGCATAACTTATAAATAAATTAAATTACTAACTAGGTCCTTTAAGAAAATCTAGTTATTAAATAACTTAAAAAGAAAAAGAATTTAAATAGATTTTTAATAATTCCTAAAGAACGAGAGTAAATACGATATATAGTTTTTATTAAGACGGTAAAAAGCTTTAAGAAGTTCGTATATAGTATTAACGATCGAGGATCGTAACGATTCTAAACTATACCCGAGGAGTACTAAATATATATAAAACTATTTATAGAACTTAAAGAGATAGGATTATTAAAATATAATAACTAGGATATAAAAATCGAACTTAAAAAAGGAATATAACCTAAGTTCTATTTAATATACTTAATAAACTAAGAAGAATAGGAATATTTTGATAAATATATTAATAAGAAACTCGAGAAAGGATATATTCGACTATCGAATTCTCTTATAAGATTCCCCTTATTCTTTATACTAAAAAAGGGTAAAAAATTAAGACCTATTATTAACTATAAAAAACTTAATAAAATTATAAAAAAGAATTATTATTTTTATTACTTATTACTAAGCTTAGAAATCTATTTTATAAAGCTAACTAGTTTACTATTATAAATTTTAAAAAAGTATTTAACTAAATTTAAATTAAGAAAAGAGATAAATAAAAAACGGTATTTTAAACTCGTAAAGGACTCTTTAAGTATCTCGTTATACCCTTCGGACTTATTAATACTTTAATAACTTTTTAAATAATAATTAACTATATACTCTAAGAGTACGTCGATATTTTTATTATTATTTATATTAATAATATTCTTATTTTCTCTCTTAACCTCGAAATATATAAAAAGTATATTTATATAGTATTTTAAAAACTTTAAAATACTAAATTATATACTAAACTCTCTAAGTACGAGTTCTATATATAAAAAATAAATTTCTTAAAATATACTATTATACTAAGATAAATCTATATATAAGTATTAAAAATAAAAATAGTTAAGGACTAGCTTATACTATAAAACGTTAAAAACGTATAAGGATTTTTAAAATTCGTTAACTTTTATTAATAATTCCTTAAGGATTATATTAGTATAATTAGACTTTTTAATAACTTAATATAAAAGGATACCCTATTTATTTAGGACCCTAAGTATAAAAAAGTATTTATTAAAGTTAAGAATATAGTTATTTTTAAATTAGTTATTATAATACTAGACCCTTAAAGACCTTTCGAAGTCGAGATTAATATTTTAGACTTTATTATAAGAGTAGTTCTAAAATAACGAGACAAATAAAAAAAGCTTTACTTATATTATTTCTATTTTAAAATATTTTATAGAGTAAAATTAAATTAATAAATCTATAATAAAGAACTAATAATAATTATCGAAGTATTTTAAAAATAGAGACTATAGTTATTTAGAACTAAGTACAAAGTAACGGTTTATATAGATTATAAAAATTTTATAGACTTTATAATAAATAAAAATCTAAATAAATAATAAGTTAAATAGAGCGAATTCCTATTTAAATATAATTTCCGAATCGTTTATTAAAAAGGCTTAAAAAATAGTAGAGTAGACGCTCTTAATAAAAGACCTAATTACGAAGTTACGGTTTTTAAAAAAATATAAGTTATTTTTAAATAAGAGAAGGATAATAGCTTTATACTAACTACGAAGCTTTTTATAATAACTAAAAAGATTAATACTAGCCTAATTAAAAAAATAATTCTTAAATTTATTATAAACATTTATAATATATTAATATACGGTTATTAAGGAGTTACTAAAACGTAAAAACGGATTTATTAGTACTATAATAAATCTATTATATACGCTAAAATTATAAAAGTAATTAAGGACTATGCGACTTATAAAAAAAGTAAAAATAGCTTATATAAGCCTTATAGCGAGCTATAACTACTATAACTACTAATAAAAGTATAGTAATTAATTATATAGGACTTTATTATTAAATTACTAAAATTTAGAGAACTATTTATTAAAATATAGTATAATAGTATCTTAGTTATAGTCGACTAACCTACTAAATTTATATATTTTATTCTCTATAAAGAATCTAGTACTATAAAAGACCTAGTGTATATATTTACTAAGGTTATATTTTCGAACTACGGTTTATTAAAAAAAATTACCTCGGATAGAAATAAGCTATTTACTTTAAAATTTTAAAAATCTCTAATTTCGTAACTTAGTATAAACTATAAATTATTAATATTATTTTATTTATAAACTAATAAATAGATAGAAAGGGTTAACTAGATCCTCGAGATATACTTTTATTATTATATAAACTATAACTAGGATAATTAGGTAGTACTTTTATTAATAGCCTAGTTCGTATATAATAATATAATTAGTAAAAGTATAAGAGAATCCCTGTTTTATTTTAATTACGGATTTTAATTAATAATATATAAAGAAGTATAATAAGGATTATAAGTTATAAAAGTTATAATAAACGTAAATAAACTTAAAAAAATTTATAAATAAGCCTTATTAAACCTCGAGTTTATATAATAATATATAAAAAAGAACGCAGATAGATTAAGGATTAAAGAACTATTTTTAAAAGAGGGGAATAGTGCCTATTTTTTTTATTATAATATTAAAACGAAATAACTAAGTAATAAATTAGATTATAAAAAACTTAGACTTTTTAAAATTATTAAAAAAGTCTTACTAATTAATTATAAATTAAGATTACTAAATACGATACGATACTATTCTATTTTTTATATTTTATTACTCGAGCCTATACTAAGAAGTTTATATATAGAAGATTATATTATTATTAAATTAAACTAATTAGAATATAAAATCGAACGGATTATTAACTATAGAATAAAAGATAATAAGAAAGAATACTTTATTAAATAGAAGGGCTATAGATATAAAGAAAATATATAGGAACTTATTATAAACTTCTAATATTCTTAAGAACTCCTATAAAACTATTACGATACTTAGGAATATTAGCGTCTAATATTAATAGCCCTAAGGAGGTAAACTCGTTACTAATCCTAAAAAAAGTTTAGTTAATATTATTAAAAATACTTATTACTTAAAGATCGCTTATTACCTATTACTTATAAGTATTTAATATAAAAAAAAATACGATCCTTTTTTTCTAACTTTTATATACTTTAAATAAAAATCTTAATATACTATTTTTTTACTTTTTTTTAAATAGTCCGAATTTTAGTTAAATAATTAGCTACTTTTATAATTTCGGACTAGATCTAAGTAAGCTTTATATAAAAATTAAGTAAAATATTACTAACCTCCTCTTTTTTCTTTTTTAGATCTTAACGTTAGTTACTTAGCCTTTTTATTATAAAATATTAATAAAATTATAAATAAAAAAACTATAATAATACTTATAACTCGATATAATAATAAGACCGTTATAAGGGCGCTTTAGATTTTTATAATTTTAATAAGTTTTTAACTTCTTAACTATATAATACGCACGTTTCGTACGAAAATATTAAGTATAAAGTATTACGTTATTAAAACTAAAATAATTAAATACGTTATTATAAACTAAATAAAGCTTAGAAATAGAATTATTTAATAAACGTTTTTTAATACGACTTAATATCGTATTAATATATTTTAAAAAAATATACTTAACGAATCCCTAACTTAAGAATAAATAACTTATTTATAGGTCTACGGGACTAGACTTTTAAAAAAAAGACCTAATATTATAACCTAATATATATAACTAAGACCAGGGCCCGCCCCGTAAGCTTATAATAGCTATAATATACTATATATATAAAAATATAAAAATATAAAGTAACTTTTATAAAATAAAAAAACTATAAAATAAGTTATATAATAATAAAAAATAAAAAAGTCTATATATTAAAAATACGGACCCCGTTTTTTTGAAATATAGAGCCTATATATTTAAAATACGGGGCTTATTAAATAAATATATAAATAAAGGATATATTTAAAAATAAAACTTATATATAAAATAGACTTAAGCCGGGCTTAAAAATAAATTTTTTATAGCTTTTTTAATAATTAACTTAATATTAAATCTTATAATCGTTTTTAGCTATTTTTATTAAAAACCCCTTTTAATAAGACTACGATTAATTACTAAAGCCTTATTTATTTTACGACTTATAAATATAGCTTTAAAAAAGCTATTTATAACTACGATACTATTTATTTAGTATTTATAGCCTTAATTTTTATTAATATACTTATTATAACTAATTAGCTATAATAAAGGGGGGACTTATTAAAGAGTATTTTTAAAAAGTCCTAGCCCGCTAGTTACTAACTATATACTAAGAGTAGAGTAAGTTCTTAATAAGTAGTAGTTTATATATTAATAAGTTCGTTTAATAAGTTTATTTAATAAATTTATTTAATTTAAATAGAGAATAGCTTTAAGTAATATTAGAAATAATAAGGATAAAAAGAATTTTTATAAGTTATAGTATAGTAAAGTAGCTAGATATTAGCCCTTTTAGCCCTTTTTTTAAAAACCTTTACGTTATTATTAAAGTTTAGAACTTCTATAGTTAAGGGCCGCCTTTAACCTTTATAACTAACCTCTACTATTGACTTTTTTAGCTAGTGCCGCCGTAGGGTAGCTTACCTATCCTAAATTATATAATAGTTTTTGTATTAAAATTACTATATTACGTTAAGTACGCACTTAGGGCATATTATATATATTATATAATTAAAAAGTATACCGTATTATATAATTTCTTTTAAAAGCGTAATCCCGTTAAGGTCGATCTTTTATACTTATAAAGTTAGAAAAAAACTACTATATAATAATTTTAATATAAAAACCGCTATATAATTTAGAATAAGTAAACTACCCTTTATATAGCGGCGCTAGCTAAAAAGGTTAATAATAGAGGTTAGTTATAAAAGTTAGAGGTAGCTTTTAACCGTAGAGGTTCTAAATTTTAATAATAACGTAAAGGTTTTTAAAAAAAGGGCTAAAAAGGCTAATATCTAACTACTTTATTATATTAAAGCTCGTAAAAAAAATTTTTATCCTTATTATTTTTAATATTACTTAAAGCTTTATTTAAACTAAATAAATTTACTAAATAAACTTATTAAATAAACTTATTAATATATAAACTATTATTACCTCGTTAAGAACTTACTCTTTTAGTATATAATTAATAATTAATAAACTAAAAATACCCCTTAATAAGTCCCCCCCTCTAAAGCTCGATAAATTATTAAGCCCCCTCGACGCCCTAACTATCGTAATTAATATAAATACGCTTAAAGAGTAGCGTAATACTTTTTAATAATATAAAATCTAGCTAAGTAATAATATAAACGCTATAAATAGCCGGGCCGGTATAAATATTAAAATTTAGTATATTAATATTAATTTAGAAATTATGTTTTATAGAGCTAGAAATTCTTTTAATATAGGCTATATTATAAATATAAAAGAATATATAAGGGGCCTCCTAACCCTTAATAAAAAAGAGTATATAATATAAGATTTAGCTACTTATACGGGCTAGTATTAAAAGGCTTTATATATATTAAAATAAGTATAGCTTACCCTTTAAATAGCTAAAAGCAGTAGAAAATTAGGAGTTTTAATTAGTAATTAAGTATAGAGCGTAATATACTTAGCTTTTTTTTAATACGTAATATATAGTACGGCCCTAGCGGATTACTCTATTAGGGAGAAGTTAAAGAATATAATATAACATATTTTATTATAACTAACCTTATTTAAAAAAAGCTAATTAACTAATTAAGCCCGTATTACTTATAATAATTAAAGTATAAATAATAAAAAACGAGGCTATTTATTTAAAAATAAAAATAAGTTAATACTAGTTAGTTTTATAAAAAGAATAAGTTAACTAAGTTAAAACTAAATATTAAACTTATTTTAATAATAAATAAAGAACTAATTTAGTATTTTTAATAAAGAGAAGATAATAAGGAATTATATAAATAAATAGCTAATATAACTTAGTATTTAAAAAGAATAAAGCTAATAAAAAGTAGTTTATAATAATAATAAATTATTATAACTACGTTAAAAAAGGTAGTTAAATAGACGTTATTATAATTTATTTTTTATATATTTTAAGTATATAATAAAAAGAAGCTTTACTTATTTAAAATTTGTAAAAGCTTATATTACTAACTTATTTAAAATTTATAAATCTTAAATAAGTAATATAGTAGTTCTAAACGAGTATATAAGTTATAGTAATATTCTTATTTTTAAAAATCTTAAATTAGAGCTTAAGTTAAAAAGGATAATAAAAATAACTATATTAATATAGTTATTTTTATTATTTTTATAAAGAGGTATTATTTTTTTAAACTAATTAAAAAGTAAAATAGTAACGCTAATATAAGAGTAACGTTAGTATATTAATTTATAATACCGGTATATTAATTTTTATAAAAGTATAAACTTAAAATAACTCTTTTTAAAATAAAAAAACTATAAATAAGTTATATAATTATAATTATATAATAAAATAAAAAACGGATACTTATAAATAAATAAAATAAATAATTATAAATAAATAAAACGGACGATTATTTAATAAATAGTTAAGTAATAATAAATAGGGACGTTATAAAAGATATATTTAAAAATAAAACTTATATATAATATAAACTTAAGCTAGGTTTAAAAATAGACTTTTAATAGCTTTTTTAATAATTAACACAGTATTAGATTTTACGATCGTTTTTAATTATTTTTATTAAAAACCCTTAATAATAAGACTATAATTAATTATTAAAGCCTTACTTATTTTATAATTTATAAATATAGTTTTAAAAAAAGCTATTTATAATTATAATACTATTTATTTAGTCCTTATAGCCTTAACTTTTACTAATATACTTATTATAACTAAATAGCCGTAATATTTTATTTACGTTAATACCCCTATAATAACTATATAATAATAGCTAAAACTAAGTATACTTTAATATATTCTTAATTAAATTAAATTAAATTATTATTAAGCGGTTGCGCGCGGAAATATTTATTATAATTTATATATTTAGTATTAATGCGCTTATAGTAATAGCTCCGCTTATTTATTAATTATAATCTATCCTCATTTATACTTAGCTCTAGTAATAAGCGTAGTTATATACTATTTATTTATATAGACGTAAGTCTGGTTAAACTAGCTAGTATATACTATAATAAAAAGCTAGTAATCTCGATCGAGGCGATATATTAGATATATAAAAGGCGGACGTGCGGTTAGAAACTAGTGGGTCCTTACTAACGCCCTTCCCTACTACTAAGTTCGGTAGCTTATATTCGCGCTTTGAACGTTATGGTGATTTTGGGTTATATACAGTCATAGTAACAGCAGAACAGATTGAGAGTGTAAAAATCTGCTCTTTTTACTCAACAACAGTAGTAAGGCGCATAGCTAGCAAGCTGAGCAAACGAGCAACGGACAGCCCAAATACATTAGACGTACCTAAGCAAACAGTCCTACTCTAATACGGATGTTTATATTCCATGGGTGAGTCCCCGTGATGTCCGCAACGCATTGAAGCTCGGCATATCAAGGACGATCGTTCTGTTGGACAGAATCTATAGGCGAATTGTATGCTCGCCAAGTCAGTCTGAATCTCACATTTTCGGAATTCCGAGTTAGTTGTCTGGTGTGGATGTGCCAATGTGCACACTAAGCCCGAAGGATACGTGATCTTGCCGAGAATTTAGGCCGCCACCTGGACGACGATCTTGCCGACATGCTTCCCAAGTCGTAGGTATTCGAACGCGGCGGCAGACTCGCTAAATGGGAAGACCCGGTCAAGGAGGTGTGTCAGGGTGACATTCTTCTCCTCCAAAAACTGATTCAACTGCTGGAAGTCTTTCCTGGAACCTACTCTGATACCCCTGTGTCATCGCTGTTAGGTTTGTCTTCGATACATACACTGCAGCGAACAGAGAACGCTCGACTTACTGTATCTTAGCTGACTTCTCTAGAAGGCCCAATATGGCAGAGGGATTCCAGCCGGCTTCGTATCCATTCATCACCCCAACAAGTGAGATGGTACCCTCCCACTGAGTCAAGAGTTGGATATCCTCAGCGACGCTCGAAGGACCGGCATTGTTCAGGACAACGTCGACGCCTCTTCCGTTTGTGATGCGCCGTACTTCTTGTTGCAAATCGCTAGTTGTTTTGTAGTTAATTCCATGAACTTTGGAGTTGAAACTTTTGATGGATTCGATCTTCTCGTTTGTTGAAGAAGTGATGATGGGCTCAATACCGGCGGCAAGGCAAATGGTGAGGGCGAACATGCTGACACCGCCGGTGCCTATATCCTCAAATTAGGCGCCATCCAATGACCACATAAACGAAAATTCCACAGATGCATTCTTACCTTGCAAGAACGCGCTGCAAGTTGAGGGTAACGAAGTTGGAGCGCCTAGGGCATTCCAAGCCGTGACACCAGCACAGGCTAACATGGACCCCTACGCTCTGACTTAGCCTTCTTTTCATCCAACAGACTTAGCTTTCAAGCTAACTGACCTCTTCCCAAGTAAGGTGCTTTGGGAGCTTGACCAAGTACTTATCCTCGAAGACTGCGTATTCTCGTAAAACGCCAGAGACATTGCCGCCGAGAGCCAAGCTGACGTTGTCGTCGCGCCGGTCAATATGATTCAGATCAAATATAGCAGAGACACGGTCCCCAGCAGCAAACTCGGTGACGGCCGGACCGGTACGAATTACCTCAGCGGCACAGTCGGAGCAAGGGATGCCGCGATCCTCGATTTCGACAGGTATCGAACCAACAAGGAACGCAACATCTCGGTAATTAAGAGACACGGCGTGAATCTTAATCAGGACGTCGTGTTGGTCAAGACTGCTCGGCATAGTCTCGGTAGACATCTCGATAGTTCTAGGGAAGTCGCCGTTGGTGCGGCGGAACACCGAGTATGTTGCAGGTATCGCCATCGCTAACGAGATGCCGAAGAGTAGTACCTTGGTTGGTAAGATGTTAATGACTTTGGTGGTGACTGACGCGTTGTTGTGACTCTTACTTCTCATCGTCGCTCCTTGCGGGTTCATGAAGTTTTGATTACGTCTGTCAGACACGACTCACTCCTAGAAAAAGCCACTTTCACTGCCTCGCAAAGGGAGGCGTCTCTTTTTGGCACTTGGTCCAATGGTTCGGCGCGATAACTTCTAATAGCCGGGTGGACGGCCTCGCGGCGCACCTCTCGGACTTGCACTTGTCCCGCAACCGAGTGTCGGTATTCGCCGGCGGAATTGGCTGCGGGGTCTTTCCTTGGGCTAGACCCAACCGGAGACTTCTTATTCTGAGCGGAGCAATCCCGCGCCGGCACCGACCCGAAGTCGACTTTGCCAAGATTCTGTAGATAACTGAGCAATGGATAATCCACGGTCTTATGTTCGGCGATATTCAGGTTGACAGACCATCAGGGTCGTACGGTGATGCTCGACCCATCTCTAAACCATCCCTGAACCATTCCTGTCCGTGCAGGCCAAATTTTTGCTGCGGAGTCCGCTACCAAATCCGCTCCGACATTCCCCACTGCATATGCCGTCCATGAGCTCGGTGAGCTGGCCGATGGATATTATAGGTTGTCGGAGCAATTTGACTCTTGAGGCATCAACCATCATATTGCACTTCTGCATGACAAATGGCCGTTGCACTCCACCCAAAGTCCGCTATCTTACTACCGCCAAGACTCAAGAAGTAGTACTATGCAAGTGTTGTTGACGGATTTCCTACCAGGCCTGCAGTCACCTGAATATATAGGTGCAGATGGACGTCCCGTGTTAGATTTGCCAGTCGATGCATCATACCTCTGCTTGGTAATCTCCAATCCTGGCACTTACCTTGTTGTCGACTCTATCCTCTCCAATCATAATGGGGGTTCCGCAGCTACCTCCCCGACTCAAACAGTCTCTGGAAGATACCACCGTGTCATATCGTCAACTCGGCAAATCGGGACTTCGGGTATCCGTGCCGATCCTCGGCTGTATGGGCTTCGGTGATCCCCAGGCCATACCGTGGGCACTTGACGAGGATGAGGTACGTGATCCTCTGGTGCACGCTGATTGCCAGTGCTGCGATCGATTGATTTCATCCATAGGCACTGCCGCTTCTCAAAGCAGCATATGACAGAGGTCTGAATACATGGGATACGGCAAATTCGTACTCCAATGGTAAATCCGAGGAAATCATCGGCAAAGCCATCAGCCACTACGGTATCCCACGTGAAAAAGTGGTGATCCTTACCAAGTGTAATTTCGCTGTCGGAGAAAGCGCCGGTACGTTATTCCTTTGGGCTTAGACGTTCTTCGTCTTGACGATATTATAGAGGAGCAACAATTCGCCTTCTACGCCGAGTTCAATAGGTCCAAGGACTATCAGAACCAGTTCGGCCTCTCGCGGACAGCCATTTTTAATCAGGTAGATGCATCGCTGAAGCGCCTGGGTACCACGTACATCGACTTGTTGCAGATCCACAGATTCGACAGCTCCGTGCCCATGGAGGAGACGATGAAAGCTTTAGATGATCTGGTACGGTCGGGTAAAGTTCGCTACATTGGCGCGAGCAGCATGTGGGCAACCCAGTTCGCGCAGCTGCAGTTCTGCGCCGAGAAGAACGGCTGGACCCAGTTTGTGAGCATGCAGAACCAGTATAATCTTCTCTACCGCGAAGAAGAGCGTGAGATGATACGTTTCTGCAATGAAACTGGAGTAGGCCTCATTCCCTGGGCTCCTTTGAGCAGGGGCCGACTTGCGCGGTCTACAGCCATTCAAACGGGAAGGGCCCTTGCCGACACTGCGGCTACGACCGGGGGACACGGTACTTCGGATGTTGACCTGCAGATCATCGGTCGTGTCGCAGATATTGCCACCAGCCGGGCTTGGCCAATGGCACATGTTGCACTTGCTTGGCTCAACAAAAGGGTAACTAGCCCCATAGTTGGGTGTAGTAGCATTGAGCGCCTCGACGAGGTGGTGGCAAGCAATGGCAGGGAACTGACGGACGACGAGGAGAGACTGCTTGAAGAGTTGTACCAGCCCAAGCCCACTTGGGGTCATCTCTGAGGCGTGGCGATGTTCACCAGTCAGGGAATTTGTTCTGTGAATGACACTGAGGAAAGTTTGAGGCGGAAAACCTAGCAATTCAAATACTATATTTTGTGTGGATGAACCGGCGCGACACGATGTAAAGAGTGTGAAATTTGATGGTTTAGATACTTTTACAGCCTTGACTGAGGTCTTGGATTTTCGTGTCTTACGAACACTCAGTCTGGGTCGCGGTCTGGTTCCTATAACCAATGAAAGGTAGGCGGATAACACTTGCCGTTGTGGATTGTAAAGTGGTGTGCATTATCGTGAGTTTTGTTCCTTTTCCATGAATAGTAGTGGTAAAGTTGCGGCATTCAGGGACTAGAAGGTCATACGAGCAGGCGCGTTAATTAGATCTATAAACTAAGGGATAGACTAGATTCGGTGTTATAATAGGAAAGAGGATCGTAAAGGTTTTATAGTGCGCACACTACTTACGACATCGAGTTTACTCCTTACCTATACAGAGCGGGAGAACCCACTGTTATTCTAATATAACCTAAGACGTCTCGAGAGCCAGGCAGGGCCTTATATCCCTTCGGATACTGAGTAGCGTCAGTATATCGAAGTGCGGGATACGCCTAATAAGAAGAGGGCAAATGCCCTCTCTAGTTATAAAACTACCCGAATATATAGATTTCGACTTTTATAATTATTTTAATTATAGAATTGATACTGCTAACTTTTAAGATTATAAAGAGCGTTATTTTTTTACTCATAGCCCGACTATAAATATATCTTTTTATAATTAGTTCCTTTTACTAAGGGGAAAGAGTAGGTAGTAAAGTAAGTAAAATATACTAAGGCTACTTAGTACCGGCTCTTAATATATATATAGTGTTTATTATACCCTAACTAAGTTATTTAGGTCTTATATAATTATTTATATATTCTTTATTCTTATTTATTTTTTCTTTTTAAAAAAGTTTTATAAGTCTTAACTATTTTTATATATATTAATTTTAGTCTTATAAACTAATATTACGGTTATTATTATAAAGGTAACTCTATTTACCTTATTATTCGCCTTATTATTAATATTATATAAGTAAATTATATACTATATTAATTTACGTTTTTCGTGAATTATTATAAATATTAATTATATAAGTAATATTACTTATATAAGCTTACGTAAGTAATAAAAAGTATTAAAAAGTAACGGAATAAGCTAGAATTCTCTTAAGACGGAATTACGTATTACGATTACGTATTTATTTATATATACGCTTATTAATTCTATTATAATTAATAAATTATAGAATATTTTAGCCCCCCGACGGAGTAATTTACCGGGGCCGTACTATATATTACGTATTAAGGAAAACTAAGTATATTGCGCTCTATACTTAATTATTAATTAAAATAGTTAACTAACTTAACTATTATCTCCTTTTTATTAATAGTTCTTAACTTTCCGCTACTTATTTAAAAAGCGAACTATACCTATTTTAACGTATATAAAACCTCTTAATACTAGCCTATATAAGTAACTAGATCCTATATTATATACTCTTTTTTATTAAAAATTAAGGGGCCCCTTATATATTCTTTTATATTTATAACATAGCTTATATTAAAAAAATTTCTAATTTTATAAAATATAATTTTTAAATTAGCATTAATATATTAAATTTTAATATCCGTATTAGCCTAGCTATTTATAATATTTGTATTATTATTTAGTTAGATTTTATATTATTAAAAAGTATTACGCTACTTTTTAAGTATATTTATATTAGTTATAATAGCTAGGGCGTCGAGGGGGCCTAAGAATTTATTAAGCTTTAGAAAGAAGGACTTATTAAAAAGTATTTTCAAAAAGTCCTAGCCCGCTAATTATTAACTATATACTAAGAGAATAGGTTTTTAATAAGGTAATAGTAATTTATATATTAATAAGTTCGTTTAATAAGTTTATTTAGTAAATTCTTTTAATTTAAATAGAGCTTTAAATAATATTAAAAATAATAAAAATAAAAAAAATCTTTACGAGCTCTAAGTAATTAAATATTAGCCTTTTTAGCCCTTTTTTTAAAAGTTTTTATATTACTATTAAAGTTTAGAATCTCTATAATTAAGGGCTACCTCTAACTTTTATAACCGATTTTCATTATCGACTTTTCTAGTTAGTACTACTATATAAGTATATTACTTAGCTTATTATTAATAAGTAATAAGGTAGCTTATCTATTCTAAATTATATAGTAGTTTTTATATTAAAATTATTATATTACGTTAAGTATATACTTAAAGTATATTACGTATATTATATAATTAAAAAATATACTATATTATATAATTTCTTTTAAAAATATAATTCCGTTAAGGTCGATTTTTTATACTTATAAAGCTAGAAAAAAACTATTATATAAGATATTTTAATAAGAGGTTTTATATTTATATAGGAATTAATATACTAATATCGTAAATTAATATACTAACGTCGCTCTTATACTAGCGTTGCTATTTTATTTTTTAATTAGTTTAAAAATGTTTTATTAATATAATTAAATTTTATTAAATACTTATAAAATATTTTAAGTTTTTATTCTTTTATTCTTTTTATACTTAAGTTATATTATTAAGCCTCGAAATCTAACTTATAGTATTTATTTATAATAGTTTTTATAATTAGAGTTAAAAACGTTCCCTAAGGCTAATCTTAAAATAATACCCTTATTAAAAAACTTCCCTTTTTATAAGAACGATTATTAATTAATTACGGCCTCTTATTATTTTTTAACTAACTATTATTATCTCCCTTTTTAAAAAATAACTATTCTAATATTAGCTAATTTTATAAAGTTAATAATTTTAAAAAATAACGCGACTTTATTACCGAGCTCTTAATTAATATATTATAAAATACGTAACTTTTTATAAATAATTACTTTAATATAAAGCTTATATTATATTTTACTTATTATTTCTTTAAAAAAATAATAAAAACCTAGCAGACTACCCTCTTACGACTTTTTTTAAAATATAACCCCTCTCCCCTAAATAAATAATTTTAATAACTTTTTTATTTTATAATAAAATAGTTTAATAATACTCTTTAACTTATTAAATAGATTATTAAAACTAATTAATAGTTAATAATAGTACTACTCTAATAATAAAAATATATCCGTTAATAATAATAAATATAGGGTCCCTAAGTTAACTTATTACCCTATTTACCCCTATAGCTATTTTTTATTTAAAATAAAGCGTTTTTCTAAACTATAACCTCTTATTATACTTTAAATAACCGATCCTCCTCTCTTTTTATAACCTAAATCCTAAACTTACTGATTCTTAATAATTTAAAATAAACTTATAATACCTTTTTTAACTAAGTTAATAATTTTATAAGAGTTAATAAATTTAGTATTATAAAGCAGAATAAGTATAAAGCTCGAGGCTAAATTATTTAATATATTTTTTAATATAATTAATTTAAAAAGCCTAAGCTTATATAAGGCGCTAATATTTAATAATATAAATCTTGTAAATATAATTATAAATAATAAGTTATTATTAAAGCTTAAAAAGAGGATAAATAGCTATTATATTATTATCTAAACCCTTAGTATAAATAGTATAATTATAGCCCTAACTTTAAAACTTTTATATACCCTTTATATTAAAAGCTTATTAGAATAGTTAAAAATATTATTAAAACTATTAGCTAACGAGTTAGGATTCGGGCTTATAATATACGTATTATTATTTAAAAATGATTTTTAGAATCCTAATTTATTTAATAAGATATTTATAACGCTAGGGCTCGTATAAATTAAAAAAAACTAGCTAGATACTTACTAATTATAATATTATTTAAGCTATTTAATAAGCAAAATATCCTATATATAATAAAATAAGTAAACGACGAGCTAAACTACTTTATTAACCTTATTTAGACCTTTTTTTACTATCTTTAAATATAAAAGTAATTTTTTAAAGTAATTAATTTTAATAATACTTATAATACTAATCGTTTTAAACTCCCTTTTTTTTAAGTTACTAAGTAAACTTATTTTAAATCTATTTATAATACCGCATTCGGCCTTATTAATAATAAGAAATTAAAGAGTTTTTAGTTTTTTTTAATAAGTATTTACTAACTTATAGATTAATACTTAATCTATTACCTTATTATTATTATTATAAACTATAATAAATAAATAAAAACTATATTAAACGAGTAGTTTTTAAACGTTTAGTAATAACTTTATATTTGTTATATTAACTTTAATATTATACTTAAAACTAAATAAAAATAAGTTAAGAACCGTAGTTATAGTAATAATAGTAATAAGTTTAATAATAAGGGATATTAATTACTAATATAAATAATAATTATACTAAGTAATAAGGATAAAACTTATATTAATACGCTTATTAATAAGCCCCGCCCTTATATATATCGTAAAGTCCTTATAATATAAAAACTTATTATTTTCGCTAAAACTAAGCATATTTTTAAAAAAACCTAGACTAAGCTCTATAAAAAGTTTAATAACTAATACCTAATCTTTTAATATTTTTATATAATATATTTATTTTTAAAAATATAATAAGCCCGTTATTTTATTTAAAAATATTAAAACTTTAATACTCGTATTATTTTTAGTACTAAGTTAAGTAATAATAATATTAAGGATTATTTTTTAAATAGTTTTAGTTATTTATATCGGTTTATTAACGTTATATAAAATATAATTAGTAATTAAGAACTACGCTTTTATTAAGCTTATATAAAAAACGAGGTACTTATAAACTAGGAATATATAAATACTTATTTTAAGTACCTAAATAAACTTTAAATAATACTTTTTTTAAAATATATTATTTTAATTAAGACGTAAAGCCGGCTTATAAAAAAAGTAATATTATTTAATAAAAGGCTATTCTTAAACCCCCTTAGATATTATAATTTAAATTATATTATTTTAATTAAACTAAGTATTTTATATTATTATAAGATT